AGAAATAGACCAATATTGACGAAAGAAATTGCTTTTATACGTAATAATCTTCCCAAACAGAAAGTGTTAGATTCCAATGGTTTCACTGGTGAATTCCATAAAATGTACAAGGAACAAGTTATACAAATTCTTCATAGTCTTGTCCAAATAGAAGAAGCCAAGGAGTGGCTTCCTAACTCCTTCTCCTAGGTCACCATCACTCTAATATCAAGACCACATTATCCCAACATCAAGACCATTATAAGGAAGTTACATAGCAATATCCCTCATGGACATAATATTATAAAGATGATAAATGTTAAATATTTCCACAAAATATTAGCAAATCAAATCCAACAATGTATAGAAAGAATTATTCACTGTGATCAAGTGGAGTTTATTCCAGGTATACAAGACCAGTTCAACATTCAAAAATCAATGAATGTAATACATCGTATCAACAAGTTAAAGAGGAAAATTATATGATTATATCAACAGATATAGAGAAAAGCACTTTACAAAACCCAACAGTATTCATGATTTAAAAATAACACAGTAATGGGAATAAGGGAAATACCTTCAACTTGATAAAGAACATACAAAAATAAACAGTGAACATCATCCTGTAAAATAAGGAATAAGGCAAGGATGGTGCCTCTTGCCACTCCTGTTCAACATCATACTAGACCCCTTAGCTAATATAAGAAGACAAGATAGAGAAACCACAGAGATACAGATTTATAAGAAAGACAGAAAACTATCTTTGTTAGCAGATGATGTAATTATTTAAGTAGAAAATTCCAATCACTCAAATGAAAGTCTTTGAACTAATAAGTGATTATAGCAAAGATGCAGGATATAAGATTCATATAAAAAGTCAATTGCTTTCCCATATATTAGCAAGGAGCAATTGGATTTTGAAGTTAGAAGCAAAGCGCCATATATATTATAAATATATTATAAATATAATATATATTATATTTATTATAAATATATATTCACATAATTATGTAATTATGTGATATTTATAATTATATATTAATAAATATATTTACATAATATATTTACATATATTATATATCTATAATGTATATTATATATACCATATATATTATAAATATATATACCATATATATTATAAATATACCTAAAGTAATGAAATATTTGTATGTAAATCTAACCAAAGGAGCACAAGATCTCTGAAACAGGGACCCAGATTCTATTATAGAACAAGAATCTAGAGCTTTGTAGAGGATAACTATGAAACTCTGATGAGAAAAAAAAAAGATTTAAGCAGCAAGTAACCTTGTCCATGGATAGAAAGACCATATTGTTAAGATGTCAGCCTTTCCCAACCTGATCTTGCAGACTTCATGGAATCCCAAGCAAAATCTCAGTAAGCTACCTTGATATCAACAAACTGACTCTCAAGTTTATGTGGACAGGTTAACCATCCATATGATAGCTCTCTGAGCCCTGTTTTGGGTGGGTTTTATGGACTCTCCATTACATAGGCACAATTGATTAAATCATTGGCCAGTGGTGATTCACTCAACCTGCAGCATCTCACCTCTTACAAGAGATGGAGGATAGAGCTTTAGGACTAAAGTTTCAACCCTCTGTCCATGGTTGGTCCTCTCATAGCCAGTACCCCCACCCCAATCTTTGGGGGGGGGTTCCAAAATCCACATCAGTAACATAAACCCAGTTGGAGTGGAAAGGGAGTTGTTATGAATAACATGCTTATGACTCTGAAGCAATTTCAGGAACTGAAATTGACCGGATTTTGTAGCAAATGTTCCCATTGCTCTTATGGTCAGGTAATTCCAAGTGTTTTGGTGCTGTGAGCCAGGAACTATGAATGAAGACAAAGATATATATTTATTATAAGTCACAATGTCACAAATGGCTATGGGTACCTTTAGATGACTCATTTGTTTATATCTTGGGATCATTTTTATATTGGTTTTCATCCTTTTTATTCCTGATATATGAGAACTTTCTGTATCTAGAAGCTTAACGGAATTAGTTCCCTAGAGTAATGCAGTAGCACAAACTGGGTGGCTTAAAATAATAGAGACTATTGTCTTATTGTCCTTGAGGCTAGTCTAGAATCAAGGTGTCAGCTGGGTCCTGTTCCTCTGAACCCTATAGGTAGGGGAGTTCTTCCTTGCTGCTCCCTAGTTCCTGGTGGTTTGCTGGGAATCTCTGGAGTTCCTTGGTTTGGAGATGGGTTATGTCAGTCCTCCATCTTTGAAGAGCCATCTTCCCTCTGTGTGTATCTTTGTCCAAATCTCCTTTTTGTGAGGACACTGGGTAAATTGCAATAGGGTTCTCCCTTATACCTCACTTTAACTTGCTTACATCTGTCAATACCTTTTTTTCCAAATAAGGTCACATTCTGCAGTATTGGAGACTAGAACTTTAGGTACCCTATCCAAACCAAACAATCCCAGGTGGTCATTTCAGTTGTGATTTTTTTTTTCCACCAGTGACTTCTTCCTCTCTTAATATTTGTGGTGCTTCTTAGTCTAAGAAATGTGGTGTTTTGCCATGGTTAAATCAGCCATGTTCCAACTTCTGAGGAACAAGACTTTCTTCATGTTTTTAGAATTGTTATTCTCGATCTTATTGAAATAATTTAAATAATTTTGTTGATGTGTTTATGTTTAATTCATCTAGACATTATCTGTGCCTGGTACAGAAATATTTCTGGAACGGAGCACAAACATGTACTTAAGGACAAACAGTAGCGCTTGTCACAGGGAGGAAGAAAACGTCTCCTAACAGTCTCTTAATTAGCAAAGAACACACCCCCTTCCATGGAATCTGTAAATCACACCATTATCCAGAGTAGTATTTAATCTTTTGTTCCTTTCCTGCTTCCTTCCAGGCGCAGCAGGATAAGAAAGCAGACAAAGATCTCTTTCCTTTAAAGACTGCTCACTTAGCAACACAATTAGAGGCTTAGAAAAAGGAACAATCCAGAAAAGACTGGATTAAATTATTGGCTGAGGACCCTTACTGTTCTTGGCTACATCTGGGTGAAATGGTAGGTTTCCTATTCTTATACACACCCTCTCACACAGACATACACCCAAGCTCACGCACATGTTAAGTGTGCATAAACAGATTAAAGCTGAATTTTAAAGATACAACTCTAAAATCTTACTGTCTTCTCTTATTGCTCGAAAAGGACAATTAATATAATGACAGTTTGGTTACTTTCCAGTATTTTTGCCTCGTTTCTTTGTCTTACTGCATTGTCTAGAATTTTATGGACAATGTTGATTGACAGTACAGGTCTTCAATGCTGTACCTGCAGATTTGAAGCACAGGACCCTGGCTCCTAACCAACACCCAGATCAGGAAGACATCCTGGTGCCTGCTCCAGGCAATTACCCCCTCTGTTCTGATATTTAGCACTACAAGCCAATTTTGCTTGGTTTTGTATTTTGTATAATGGAATCCAAAATTATATGCAGTTTTTTAGCTTTTCATTCAGTGTGATGCCTGTGAAAGTTGTTCACATCATTGCAGATAATAGTTGTTTTCCTTGCTGCTTAGTATTCCACTGTGTTCTTAAACACCATTATTTAATGAAGCATTCTACTGTTGGAAGACTTTTGTTGTGTTTCCCATTTGGGGTTAGAAAAACAAAGTTGCTGTGGGTATTCTTGACTGCAACTTTGGGGGGACTTGAGTCCTCATTTCTGTTGGGTTTGTGTCACGAGTGGGGCTCCAACTTCAAAGGGCAAGTGCTGGCTTTCATTTATTAGGTGGTTCATGTGACTTACTTATTTGTTGTGGCAATTTATGCATCAACAGTGGTGTACAGTTGTTCCACATTTTCATCAATACTTGGTGTTATTACTTTAGTCGCTCTGGTAGGTATGATGTGGCATCTTCTTGTGGCATTTCCCTGCCAAGTAATGCTATTAAGTGGTTTTTCATGTATAGATTGACCTTCTGCATATCCCTTTTTGTGAAATCTCTATTCAAGTCTTTCTGCCAGTTTTAAATTGTCTTTTTCTTATTGTAGGAGTTCTTTATATGTTCAGGCACTAGTCCTTTATTGAATGATAAGCAACTTTGCCTGATTGTTTTTTCACTCCTAATGGTGTCTTTTGATGGAAATTCATTTTAATTAAATTATTTTTCTTTTTTTTTTGACAGTTTCTTTTCTGGTTAGTTGGTAATATTTTGATATTATAACCAGATTATATGAAGAAACAACGTCTTTTTGTTCATCATTTCCAGCCCCAGAAGACCCCCAAAGGGATGATCACAAATGCAACCCTAATTTCTCTATCCATGGTGGGTCCAATGTCTAATCATTACCACCAAGGTCTGTTCTCTTGGGGAAGAGGAAATGCAAGTGAGAGAAGGGATACTGAGGTCACCACGCCTGCAGGCCCAGATTCTGCAGTCTGTGTAGCCCTGTGAAGCAGGGTACATGCAGTGAATGCAGGGGCAACAGATGGTGGATTCTACCTCCTGGAGCCCATGGGTGCTACCTGCAGTAACCAAGGGCTAATCAATGCCTCACACTCAAATCCCTCAAAATGTAGCTCCTTCTGCACGGAGGAACTGGAAATGTCTACATGGGCCTGGGGTGGGGGGGTGGGCAAGGTGCCGAGAACTCTGTTGTCCTCTCCTCCTAATCCATTGGGCTTTATGGCCACACCTGTGGTCAACAAGGGGATGCTGCCTTTTCAGGACAGGGAGACAGTAGCTCGTCACAGTATCTGGCCTCTGCCTCCTTAGGGTCAGTCCTAGCTTTCTCCTTCCATACCTGCCTGGGATCACACATGTGAAGAGTCCACCTGATTTCACCAGTTTCAAAGTCTCAGCAAGAATTGCTGGGAATCAGCAGTTCTCCTGGAGAGACAAGCAAAACATGTATGCATGTTGCAGTATTGAGCTTTCATCTCCGGAAAAGCAAGTTTGAAGGCTCGTAGTCCCAGGCAAATGGCCCTGCAGTGGAATGAGTAACTGACTGTGTTTTATCCTCGTTGCAGAACTCCCACCATGAACTCTCACGGAACACTGCTGGGGGAAGCCAGACCCACAGGAGAGCCTACAGTGTCTTGAAGTCCCAATGCAGGTAAAAGAAACTTACAATGCCAGAGTTGGGCGAGGGGTTTCCTTGGTCATGGGAAGTGTGGGGGAGCACCAAGAGGGCTCCTAGGGCTTATAATATTTGATTTATTGATCTGGCTCATGGTTACATGGTTCTTTCTGTTAGCCTTGTCAAACTGTACTTTTCTGTGTGCATATTGCATGTCCAAAAGCAAAATAACAAAATATCTGGACCTGGGCCTCCCTGGTGGTGCAGCGGTTGAGTGCTGGGTGGCGAAGCTGCCCGCAGCCTCTGCAGCACCGGTTCGATCCCCGGCTGCTCCCCGGCCACCAGAGGAGGGTCCCACATGGCGTGCAGACCTCTCCTGCCGCCCGCTGCTCCCCTCAGCAGTGTACTTCAGTCCTTCTGCCTGTTCTGCTCCCTGCTCTGGCTCTGGTGAATTCTCTCACCCTCCTGCGCTTCTGACTGTACCCAGTGCTTGCATAAATAAATAAATAAATCTTTAAAAATAAATAAATAAATAAAATAAAATATCTGGGCCTGGGATGGCAACTCACAAAGGTATGTGTCCTGGCCTGGCCACTCTGTCTCATCATACAAATGTCAGTGGGGAACCAAAGGGGGCGGACTCTTTTCAAGAACCACAAAAGCCTCCCCTAAGCCTTATTGCCTTTAGACTCTAGAGCTCCCTGGCAGGAAGGCCCACTTCCTTGGACACAGCCCTTTTGAGTTCTGGACAAAATACTTTTGGCTGCAGTCCTGGGCCATCATTGGAACTGCCAGGCAGCACTGTCCACAGGCTATAAGGGAGTGGGCTGAAATCAAAGCCAGAGTAAGAACGACATGGACCCAGGAGTGTGGCACTGGTGAGGGGACAGGGCTGTGGCCAGGGAGGAGGACAGCAAGCAGGTCCCTCAGGCCCCATATGAGCATCCCTGGAGGGACAGCAGGGGTGGCTGGGACCTCCATGGCCCTCTGGGCTCAGGCAGACAGATCAGGGCAGCAGCTGGGGGTGCTGGTTGAGCCCCTCCCTGGAGCCAAGCCCAGGTTTCCAGGCCTCTGTGTTCCCATTTGCATCAAGACAAAGCTCAATGTCCTCTCCTCTCCTGGGAGGCGATGATGGCCAGGACTTTAGCCAGGACAGCAGCACGCTCTTGCCATACAAATTAGAAGAGACTGCTCAGCCAAAGCCTGCTCTAAGACATCTAATCCCACAACCAAATGTGACTCCAGCCTGCGAAATGGGAATGCGGTGCTCTGGGAGGCCCCAGAGAAAGGGAAGGAAAGTTGGGGACTAGAGTCACAGTGGGTGACTGAAGATTCCAGATCTGTGCAAGGGAAGGCTCTGTGTGTCCTCTCTCTTTTTAATTAGTTTATATTTTGAACAGGTAATACCTTTACATGGTTCAAAAATCAGATGGTGAAAATGCTTAACTTATAAAACTTGCCTCCTCTTCCCTGTCTCCCTGGCTCTTCTGTGTCCCGGTGAGCAGCCTGTGAGCACTTTGCATATTGATGGCAGGTATATGCTGAGATGAAATGCAAACAAACAGAATATACAGTCTAGTTCACACCTTTCTCATTGTTCCACACCTTGCTTTTTTGTTTGTAATGTTGTTTTAAGCCATTATGCTTTGGGGTGTTTTTCTTTTTCTTCTTCTTTTTTTTTTTTTGGAGAGAAAGAAAAAGTTTATTGAGGAGAAAAGGAACAGAAATAAAGTAGGACTCCCAGGCTGGTGGGACCAGGCCAGGCCAAGGTGGGGCAAGGAAGCCGCTATGCTTTGGGGTGTTTTAAAAGCAGTTTTAGATATCCAGAGCTTCAGATTAAGAGGGACGCACACCACTTTCCCTCTTAGAACCAGCAGTGTATTCCCAGTTTATTGGTCAAAAACTAATGTCTACTTCACAGAAATATAGAGTCTTCCCTCAAAGAGGGGTAGCAGGTGTTCAGGAGTAAAATAAAGTGGCTGGATATAAGATAAACATAGCAGTACTTTGCATTTATATATACTCATAATAAGCCTTTACTAACCAACATACGGATCCCATATATAGCACAATAACAAAAGTAAAATACATAGAAACAAATTTTATGCCTTGAATTCATCTCCTTTCTGGTACAATCCCCCATGGGGACTGTGAAAAGGTTTGTAATGACCTCGTTAGTAGAGATTGCATATTGGGGAATTTCCAGCAAAGTTGCAAATTGGCACACACTGCTTCTGCCAGATGACAACAGTGTTCTTCTAAACTGTTAAAATTTTACCATGTATGTGCTGAGGTTGGGATAAAATGTTAAAGTAGGGTGGCTGGTCTGATTGAACTAACTGAGAAATTCTTTCAAGTATGTGCCAAAGTGGAAAACTCATAAAATCCGCTGCAAGAGCAGGCGTCATCAGGCCTGAGAATCAGCTCCCAGGGCAGGCTGTCACTGCTGAGCTCTAGTGGATAATCCTCCAGGAGAAGGCTCGCCGCCTTCAGAGCAGAGCTCCTGATAAGGTCTGGCAAGAGCCTCTCACCATTTCACCCCCTGAAAATACACTTTTTAGTAAATGATTACATTTATAAGTAATGTGGAGTAAACATCCTAGGATTCTTAACCTTTGGGGGTGAAACTCTAACTAAAAGGTACAAATTTTCCCTCTAGGGAAAAACCCCTCTGTGCAGGGTATATATAACAGCCTGCATAGCAGTTCTAGTGGTTACTGACTCTGTGAGTCTTGTCCTTAAACCACAAGACAGTAAGAAACTATATTTTAGAAGTTTGTGTGACAAGGGTGGGAAGAAATAGGTTGGTAGGGGAGACAAAGGTGAAGCAGGGAGTTTTAGCATGGAGGATACTAAGTTTGCCTTTGCTGTGTTGGACAATAATCAGATGGGGTGGGTGAGGTGGAGAGAGAGTAGATCGTGATGGAAGGAGGTCCCCAAGGAATACAAGAAGGTGGGCTTCAGAGCCCTGGGCACTGGGAAGCCCTGGAGAGGTGGACAAACACCTTTCCTCTGCAACGAAAGGGGAGCAGTTGGGGTCTCTCAGTTCAAGGTAGTTAGGCTGTGTACGAGACTGTCATGGGCACAGGTTCCTAAGGATGACTGTCAGATTGTAGACCATCATTCCTTCCATGTGCATTTACGAGCCCGTATTATGTGCCAGACACTTCAAGAAAATGGTCTTTGCTCTCATGGAATTGAAGCTGGGGGATAAGTAAAATTACATTGATCAACAGGTCGCTTTCCAACACAGCTCACTACTAAGAAGGAGCTAGGTCAGGGGATGGAAAGAGAGTGGGGTAAACAACTCCCATCTGTGCCTGACTGAGGCAAAGGAGCCCCTGAGACCCCAGAGGGAGGACACAGCAAGTGCACAGGCCCTCTGAGGCATGGGGCTTGATATCTCACTCCCAGAGGCTATAAGCTCTCTTCCCTGTGTTGTGAATCTCCAGGTTCTCCTAAGGGCCTAGTATAGAGTTGGCTTTAACAGCCATCAGGGGATGAATGAATGAATGAGGGCAGGATGATGTGTGCTCCTTGACCTTTCCTCAGCCCTGGATGCATCTGCCCTCCTTTTCCCCCAGATGCCCTCTTGCACAATCCAGTGTTTGCCAGTCACACTCCTGCCTAGAGCCTGTGCTCAGCTTCACTGCGCCATCCCCAGGGACACCCTTGCACAGGTGACACCCTCCCCCAGGGACACCTTTCTCTCTAGGGCGCCATTCCTCCAGATATATTACCCCCATATGTGTCTTTCCTCCCAATGTGCCCTTCCCCAGGTGTGACTGCTCAGGTGTGCCCTTCCCTACGGGGCCTGTGGCTCCCTCACCTCACCTTCTTTGGGTCTCTGCTCCACCAACACCCTATCATGAATTTTTGCTCTTCTTCCTGTTTAAAATGCCCCCCACTCTGTTCTCTTAGCCATTTTATTTTCTCCAGCACCCATACTCCACATTTCCCAAGTTTATCCTGTTTATTGCCCATCCCCAGCCACAGACATGCAGGCGGGGAGTGCCTGCAGGGCTGTGAGCTTGCTGTGCTCAGGAGTCCAGAGCCACGTCCGGCACAGAGCAGGCACTCAGTATGTTTTCATCGAGAGAGAGAATGGACTTTAATGCATCTCTCTCTCTTCCCTGACCTTAAACTCCTGGGAACTGGGGACCCTGCCTCAAGGACCAACACACAGAGGGGAGCTTCTTTAAATGTAGGCTGAGCTCAGGAACCATCTGTGGTAGTGTGGAGATACCAGTAGTTTCCTGAAGCTTCAGAAAAACCCTTAAGGAAGGGCTCTCCCTGTGCACTGGGGGGGGGGCGGGGGGGGAGCAACCCCCGTGTCCCATGAGTAAGCATTTCATTAGAGGCGATCTCGTCAGGGTTTACTCAATCTGATCAGCAAAGACATTTCACAAGTCCACAGACAGCGTCACTCTCACGGGAAGCTACGAATACCAGAAATCAGGAGCAGCCCCTCACCCTTCCAGGGAATTCACCAGTCAGGCTTCCTGGAACAATCCAAGAAATGCAGAGTTGGCCATGTGGGCCCAATACGCCTGGTCTCTAGAAAAGCACACTGAGGGCTCAGCGATGGCCTTGCCGTGATAACAGACGTGCTCCCAGGACACTGTTTCATGGGGAAGATGAGTTAGAGCCCCTGTCTGCTGACTCAGGAACGTCGAGATGCATTTGTTAAGAGAAAGGGATTGCAGACTAACTCACATAATAACACGCTCCAATTTTGTAAAAAAAAAAAAACAGTAACACTTCCTTGTCACCTTAGGGAAATGCGAAGGGGGAGTGTGTGTGTGTGTACATGATTAACTTTTCTTTGTCCATTTTTTAATTGTTCAAAGTTTATACTAACCCATTAACTTTTTATTTAATTTTCAGCCTCATTATTATTTCTATACACAGATCTTATGTGTTCTGATTAATGAGTTTGACAGTTGCATAACCTGTGTCACCTTCATTATTCCAGAAGGCTTCCTGGTTCAACCTTTAACAACTGTTTGGCTCTTAGCACCATAGAGTGATTTTGTCTGGTCTCTGATCCTTAAATGGAACTGTGGCCTGCCCTCCTTCGAGCCTGATTCCTTTTACTAACAAAATGTTTCTGCATGCATTCCCTCTTCCTCATTGATAAGCCAGACTCTACTGCATAAAATATTAAGATTTGTTTACCCTTTCTCCTACTCATGGGCATTTTGGTTAGATCCACTGCTTGGCTGTGAAGAATAAGGCTTCTATAAATACTCTACAAGTCTTTATGTGGATGTATATTTTTATTCTCTTGAGTAAAGTAAGAGTGGAATGGCTTGGTCCCAGGGTATATAATTAATATTTAATAAAGTAAATTGAAAGCTAAATAAAAAAAAAAAGCTACAGCAATTAAAAAGGGTGGCCTCTGGCCCAGAAATAGGCAAGCATTCATTCTAGAGCATACAAAAATGTGTGCTCTTACAACTGCTAGTCCCAAAGGGGCCCTTAAGGTCGTAACCTCCTCATAACCTGTCCTTAGATCTGTGGTCAGCTGGGACCCCTCCACTTCCACAGCCACTGATTGGGGCATCCCCCACCTCTATCCACATGTTGCTGGTTTCAGCCTCTGGTTCAATGCTCCAGTGTGACTATTCACTGCCCTTAGAGAGGCCTTTAGTTCACTGACCTCTGTATTTCTCTTACCCATCAGCATTTCCTTATCCAGTTCTGATTCTGAAGTTCGTTACTGCCCTCTGCTTCTCACGGAAAACATCTGGACAAATTACAGCCTTTGATGAATCCAAAAATCTGTTTCCTTTTCCTGGGTGCATGTTCTTTGGATAGTCTAGAGCTGCTGGGAGAGAGTCTCAAAATAGGACAAATTGGTTCTACTTATGAACACCAACCTCAAATGAGTCTTCAACACTGTCCTACTCAAACTTTCTCAAACCAGCCTCCTTTCCTCTACCCCACCTCAGCAAATGATCTCACCTTGTTGTTTAGAGAGAGAAGGAAAGCTATGGTAGAAGATCTGCCATCTTATACTGACATGGAACAAAGGAGAGAAAAATCCACCATCTATTCACCCACCCATTCATCAGTCCACCCACATATCTACCATCCCTCTGTTCATCAGTCCATCTCAGTTTATCTATACATCTGTATATCCAGCCAGCCAGCCACCATTTATCATCGAGCTCTGTTTATCTATTCATCTACATATCCATCCATCCGTCCGTCCCTCCATCCGTCCGTCCATCCATCCGTCCATCCATCCATCATTCCTCTACATATTTATCCACTCATCCACCCATCCATTCATCCATCCTGCCTACTTGTCTTGCTTCCCTCTGGCTACAATGTCACGGAAGGTCACTTCTTGAATCTGTTTTTGCCTTCTCTTCCCACCTTTTCAGGAGCCATAGGCACCACAAAGTCTCCCCTTACTTCCTGTGACATCTAACTTTTCCTTCTCATCTGATTCTTCCCACTGACCTTTTTATACTCTTAGATCTCTTTCATTGAAAACCCATTTTTGATTCCTTTTTCTCATTACTTCCATTTAACAGCCAAACACTTCAACAGTGCTTGTCTCGCTGCCCTCACTACACACTTGTTTCTCGCTCTCTCTAAGCTGACTCTGCTCCCATCACCACAGACAGTGCTCACGGAAGTCACTGATGCCTTTCATGTTGCCAGGCCTAAGCACACTCTTTCCTCCCCTTCCTCGCCTCTCCCCAGCAGTCAACTCTCGGCCCTCTGTGTCTGTGACATGCCTGGTGGCTTATGGCCATATGCCTTCCTTGTCCCCCTTCTGCTCGGTGTTCCTGTTCCGATGTCGAAGTCTCGCTTGTCAGCTGAGTACCTTCTAATTCATCCAGCACTGGAAAACCCTGGTGGGAGATACAAAGAGGGCAAACTGATGCCAGGGTGCTTTCCCACGCTCCAGGCAATATCTTCGGGAGTGGTTGTGTCTTTTCCTTGATCCCAGCACCCTTGGACAGCCCCAATCCCAGTTTCTAGGTGGTTCTCTTGCTAGGTGATTCCAACTTCAGATATGGAACAGAGCACGGCAAGGTTTTCAGCCACTGGGCACATGACTGACACAGGGGACAACCATGCCGGCTGCCATGGAGAGGTCAAGATGGCCCCATTAAAGCCATTAGTGACTCATTTTTATCCACTTGGTCACAGGTTGGTGTCGGCTTCCTGTCTGCTGTAAACTCTGGGTTGCCTCATCATTTCTGGTGTGTACCCTCAGCTCTTCTAATGCCTCTGTAACTATTGCTTCATGTAACGTTCCCTCCTTTGAACTTGGGGTGGGCTCTCTCCTAACTGGACAGTGCCAACCCACCCATTGATCTCTGCAGGTCTGCTCTCCTCCAACCCCCATTGCTTGTGGCCCAGGAATCTGACGGGAAGGACTGCCTGTGCTGGCCTCTGACCTGAGCTGGGTTTAGCCATTCGAGTCCTGGAAGGAGATGGGAGAGGAAGAGGCTGAGACTGAATTGTTTTTTCTATTCACCACATGGTTTTCTGAATATTTTAAGCCCACTGTTGAGACCTACTGCTCAGAAAAAGGTTCCTTTCAAAACACACACTGCTCACTGACAATGCAGTTGTTCCCCAAGAGTTCTGATGGAGGACAAAGAGATGAATGCCTGCTGTCACCTCATCCCCTCTGCAGCTCAGGATCAGGTCTTATTATTTAAGAAGTACATTTCCTAAGGCTACAGCTTCCAGACATACTGATTCCCCTGATGGATCTGAGCAAAGTTAATTGGAAACCTCCTGGGAATGATTCACCAACCTCTGTGAAATGGAGAACAGGAAGGTTTCATGGGACGAGGTTACAACGTCAGTGTTAAAAGGAGTTAGGAGGAAGTGGACTCCACTCTCGTGAAGACTTGCAGGGACTCAAGACTTCAGAGGAGGAAGCCACTGCAGATCGGGGGAAGCAGCAAGAGAACCAAGATTAGAGGTGGAGCCCAAAGTTGTTCAACTTGAATGGATGAGCAGTTGCACTTAGGATGGATGACCAAGGACAGTTATTTCTTGAGATTGAATCCACTCTTGGCAACAATACTGTGACACTTAATTGCCTTCTGATTGGTCTCTCTTGAATAATTTCCTTGCCCAAATCTCTGCTGGAAATGCTTTCTGAGACAAGCTTTCTGAACACTGTGGTGCATTTGCTCATTTTATGCCTCTTGTTGTTTTGACTGTCTAGTCTCTGTCGGCTCCCAGAACCCTCCTTTTCACACACGTGCAACCTCCTCGCCATTCAGAAGCTCTTCAGATCCTCCTCATGCCATGTTAAGTCCACACAGAGGAAGGGGAGCCAAGGAAGGCAGCGTGATCTCAGCAGCCAAGGCTGCCCCAAGCTCCTCACAGTGCTGAGCCCACAAGAGACGACTCCCCTCAGAAAGTGAGCTCCCTGGGATACTGTCCCCAAGAAAGGGAACACAACCAAGGCTGCAGATTTTCTGGGGCTGAAGCTGCACCATGCTCCTCATGGCAGTGAGGTCAGTCGAGATGCTGCCCCTCTCTCGTGGCTCATTCTCAGGAGACCCCACCACTCAGGCTCACAGAGACGCCACCCCAAACAGCTCCCAGGTGGTGAGCTCACTGGTGACGCAGCTCCCGTTGGTGAGAGACTGGGTATTCGTGCCCCTGGCTCCCCCTTGTGGCCAGCTGTGTCTCTTGCCAAGGTCACGGCTCCTCACGCTTTTCTGGCTCCTGCTCTGGGTGTGGGAATTGTACCACTCCCTCCCCAACTCCTCAGGGAACAGGCCTCTAACTGCACTGCTCTCACCAGCCTTGGGCACCACCAGAGGCTGCCTTGGACCAGCTCCTCCTACACCTTCCTGGGCACCTTTCTATAGTCTTGCCAACCCAGTGCACTGCTTCCCAATGCCAGGACTGACCTAGAACCCGCAGGGAGCCAGGACAGCTTTCAGTAAGGCCAGTTGCTCCTTTATACTTTTTGTTGTTAAATGGCCTTTTCAATGTTAATTATGGTGATGAGCAGAGGAAATTCATTCTTTAAATTTATTGTGGTAAAATGCCCAAATTATGGTACAAAATTTACTGTCCTATCCATTTTCAAGTGTCCAGTTCAGGGACATGAAGTCCATCCCACTGTGGTGCAGCCATCACCACCACCCACCCTCTCCACCTCCACGCTGGAGCCCTGACCTCAGGCTCTAGAACAGTGATCCAGAATTCCCTGTTGTTTGTACTCTGCCCAGTCTGTGATATGGTGTCAAGTGGCCACAGTGGACTCTGACAGTAGGTTATTTGAAGGGGAGCTATTGAAGAAAGTCATCTGAACCCCAGCTTCCCACTGTGGGGTGTTCTGAGAGATGGAACATCAGGTGACATGTGAGTCATCCTCAGGGGGAGTCAGGGGCGGTCTCACTTTGCATCTGAGCAGAAGACCTCCAGAGCTGAGCTGAGAAGGATTTGTGGGGCCCAAGTTTGAAAAGAAAGTTCAAGCCAGGCACCCAAAGGTCATAGACCCTGCCAAGTTAATGTTTCCTTTGCAGTGTACACAGGACACCCAGCCCGTCTCTGTAGCCATCTGCTCACCCATCCATGTATCCCTGACCCAGACTCACCCCTGCACCTAGGGCAGTGCGACCAGCACCCACTCCTCCAGCCACCCAAGGGCCTGCAGAAAGCTGAGGCAGAGGCTGTTTGTTGGCACATCCTCCATCACGCTCACCTGATGGTGCCTTTTTGAGGCAGGTTCCATGCAGAACCTGGGTACACGGGTGAGGAGACCCTGTCCCAGCCCTCAGGGACTTGCAGTTGAGAGCGAGACAGACAAGCACAGGGAAAAGGACGTTACCACTCAATCTGTGCCGTGAATTCTCAAAGGAGGAGGGTGGGGGAAGACTTTGCGAAGGAGAGGAGGCGCAAGCCAATCCTTGAAGCCTCAGCAAGACTCACGCATGAAGTGAAAGGGCTTTCCTGGCACAGTGAATGAACTGAACTGGCAGAGGCAGGTCTGTGTGAATCGGATGGACCCGCCTCTGCCAGTTCAGTTCATTCACTGTGCCAGGAAAGCCCTTTCACATCCGACCTCAGTCCCACTTTCTCTACCTGCTCTGACAGGATGGGTTCCGAAGTCAACACTGTCACTGCCATCATATCCCATTTGGTAAAAGCAAGTGGCTAACCCATGCCCAAGGGGAGGGGAATTTCACTTCTCTGCGGGGTTGGGGGCGGTGTAGAGGGGGGCGTGTCAAGGAGTTTTTAAACTACCACTGTGCAATCACTTCCCACTAATTATTTATATTCCTCCCACTTGAAAAATGCATGCACTTGTGCAAACACTCTCCACAAGTCCCATCCTTCTACAGAATCAGCTCAGAGTGCAGAACCTCCATAGTAAATCAAGTCGGGATATAGACAAGCGAAGGAGCTCCTTGACAACGATCCGCTTAATCTGAAGTCCTGTGAATCCAAGAGATAAATTGTCTGCACCCCCACCCCTGCCTACATCCACTCAACATACAGTGGTGGGATCAGCAAAAGCCGACCAGTATAGATCGCCTTGTTCAGAGTGGATGGAATGGGAGGCATAGGGAAGCGTCGTCACCCCATACAATTTTGAAATCCAGCTGGGCAGATATTGGGAGTTCCCGGATGAGGACTCAGTCTGACTCTGACCTGAAAGTGATTCTTGGTGCTCTGGGCTCCCCCCTTGGCCTCTTTATTCTGCTCTCCAAGTCAGTCTTTCATGAAATGTAGCCCAAGTTTTCGCCAAGCTACTTCTTGCCGGTAGAATTTGAGGGGAGGGGTTTCAGAGGTCTCTGTCCTTTTGTACAATCTCTGATCCTTTCTAGCTGGCACTGTTTAAAAATGCCTGTGAATCCTGTTGAGACTTGCTCCTGTAGACACTGTCCATCTTCACTTCTCTGAGAAAAGCCCTTTGCTCCATTGGGCTTCTGCTGAGACGGCTAATCAATGCCAGCTCTGAGTGTCCTGTTGAACTGAATGCTCGGAGGCTCCACTTTTGGTCATTTTGAGGACTTCACATGGATATTACAGCCCCACCCTTGATTTTATCTTTAGACTGTCTTTTCCTGGCATGGCCCTGCATCATATCTTTGGAAGCTATTTGCTAATTTTAGTATCAGTTGACTTCAGGAAAAGTTGGGAATTTTCAAAACCAGCAAGGTCTGATTCCTTTTATTTCACATTCCCTCTTTTCATATTTCTCTTCCCTCACAGTTTAGTATGAGCAGCAAGAAGAAACCAGAAGGCACCTTCAGCATTCCTCTAGAAATGTCCTTGGCCAGGTCACCTGGTCCTTCACGCACATTACTGCTCAGGGCAGCGCAGCTAAACTTCCTGCTTACCCTTTACTCCTGTCCTGCTCCACACTCTCTATGAGGATGGGCTCTTTCCCGACTTTCTAAGTCCATTTCGAGGCATCCACTCTCCACAGTGGTTCCTGTCGTCACCTCTTATTTTGCCTTTTCTACTCTAGCTTTGAAGCTGTGTTTACACTGCTTTCCCAGCCTGACATACAGTTAGTCTACAATTTTATTGAGCACCTTCTAAGTGCAAAGCACTATGTTAGGGGTTGGGAACTAAGGTTTGCACTCATGGGTTGGTGGGGTGGGGGGACATGTCAATACAATAACTCCAGAAGCAGTGATGAAATTGCATTTGAAGGGGGTGTATGAAAAAATATTAGAGCATCCTCTGTAGTCCTAGCACGGGGGGCTCTGTCTTAACGGGCTGTGGTTAGGGCAAGCTTCCTTGAAGACATGAAATTTAAGTAGGAACCTTCTGAAGATGTGTGGGGCTCGCTTGAGGAAGAGGATGAGAAAAGCTCATGGAAATTCATGAGTTGAGAAGACAAGCATACGTGAGGGACAGGGAAGGCCTGGAGGATGGAGCAGAAGGAAAAAGTGGACAGTTCTGAGAATGCACTAAAGAGCTCAGGAGTGACGGGTCATCGCAATCCTGGGTGTCCATCCCTGCCATGTGGGCAAAATACTTGCATTAAGTCATTCAACAAACATTTAACATCTCCTACTTGTCATCATTGGGTATTGGGGATATAACAGTGAATATATTACATGACTCTCCTGCCCTGAAAGAGCTTACCATCTAGTGGGAGAGAAATAACCATCAAATAATGAAAAAGAACATACCAGATTTACAGCAAGTGCTGTAAAGGAAATAAAGCAGAGTGTTGTGATGGGAAGTGACTGAGGGGTTTCTTCAGGTTGTGTGACCCAGAATTGTTGCTCCAAGGCCCTCATCAGGTCTCTGATACACCAACTGCCAAGTAAGAGTGAGACAAGGCTGGCCTCTTAGTATTCGAGAGAACATCCCGCAGAGGCCAGTGTAAGGGCCCTGCGGTTGGAGCAAGCTCATGTGAGGCGCTGAACAGAGGTCCAGGTGGTCAGCGCTCAGGCAGAGGGTCCTTAGAAGAAGGGCCACTAATAGGGCACAGAGGAGCCCAGTGCTGGTATGTCAGGAAAAACAGGTGGAAGGGACCACCGGGACAAAGATTCCCAGTTAGGAAACATGCGGATTTATCCTCTGCTTTATTCTTTTTTGGTGACTTTCCTTGGCCCAGAGCGGGACAGACAGCCCTGACTGAGACAGGGTTGGTCGGGCTGGAAGCCAGGGGACCGGTTGGTGGCCCCCAGCCTGGGTAGAAGGGAGTGGGGAGAAGGGCATCGCCTAGGTGGAAGCCTGGAGTTGTGGAAAGCAGGATGGGACCCGGCTGGCTGAAACCCCGTGTCCTCCTGGACAAGCGGTCTCTAGAAAGGGACTGTGAGTTCATGGAGAGCAAGGGTCTTGTTTGGCTCTGTCCTTGTCCACAGTCCACGGCAGTGCTAACAAACAAGAGTTATCCTGTGGAGCTCTAAGTGGCTTTGTTCACGGATCCGTGGGCAGCACCCCATCTAGCAAATAGAAAAGCATCAGGAGGGGTTGGGGCGGGGGTCTCCACTTGGAGAGGACCTCACTAGCTTGACCAGGAAAGTCCAGGCTGACTGGTTTACAATTCCACTAGGGAGAGCTTGAAACTGCAGTTAGGTGATATATTAAGTCTTGGTAGATGTTGGAATTTAAAAAAAAAAAGTTTGGGGGTTGTTGTTTCTTTTTTCACAGTAGGAACTTGGCACATTATCCCTGAGTGAGTGAGTGAGCGAGTGGAGTGTGTGAGTGAAATCAGGGAGTTTGGGGAGAGTTTCCTCTTAACCAGCTCAGCCCTGCAGGAACTCCTAACCGGTGGTGCTTGAGCCTTTCCAAAGCCCTGTGAGTTCTGGAAGGGTCAAAGCCAGTCCTCTCACCTAAGACGCAGGCAGGCTCGAGAGGGCGCACCACGAGCCAGGCCAGGTCGCTGCCAGCCGGAGCTCCCCACCCCCAGTGCGACTCGCCGCGCCGCGTCCCGCCCCTCTCGTCTGCCCGGCGCCCTTCCCTCCCGAGTTCTGGCCTTGGCCTTGGCTCCTGAACTGGCGGGGGTGGGTCCCCTTCTACACTGCCCAGGGCCGGCCTGCACCAGCCGGCATCCCCAGCGTGACTCTCAGAGGTCCTTTCCGGCGGTGACACCTGCGCCTCCTTCTGCACTTGGTGAGCCCCTCACACCCCGAGGGCGGAAGGCCCCCTCAGCTCGCAGCTGGAGGGGCTGGGGGTAGATAGGGTGGGGAGGGCTCTGGCTTTTGTACCCTCAGCCCGGGTTTCTAGTGGGCGCCGCAGGGCCTCTGGGTATGAGATCCCAGTCTGGGGTTCTGGGAGCAGTGGAGACCCCAGCTTGGCCAGGGGTGTATGTGGGGGCCCTGGGGCGCTTTACCCAACCCACACCATCCTATGGGGTGGGCATTATCCTCCAGGCTTGCAAAGGAGAAATCTGAGGCTCTGAGAAACATGTTGAAGCGGACCCATGGGGGATCAGCCTGTCCCCTCTCCTCCCCCGCATCTGCCCCCTGTTCTAAGTCCTTCACTCCATTCTCTGGACTGAGGAAGACCCCCGCCTGCATTGGCTGAATGTGGGGTTTGGACTCAGGGCCTCCGGTGATGGGAGAGCTCTCAACCCAGCTTGCTTTGCCTAGGAGTGGGGGGACTGCCCCAGTGGCGGCCTGACCCCACAATGTGGTTCTTGGGGTTCTCATGGTTCCTGCTACTCAGAGCCTAGGCCCACCCGCTCCTCTCTAGGCCCTACCCTGGCCACCTGCCTGGTAGAGGCAGAATCTCCCTGAGGTGCTACAGAGGTCAAGAAGGATTCTGGAATGCAGGGTGCAGGCATGCACTCTGGCTGCTGGTCTCTGCTTCCTCCCCACTCCCTTGCTTCTCTGTGACCTTGGGCAGATTTCTCAGGCTCTGAATCTTATTTTTTCGGCTAAAACCCAGAGGGTGGGTAAATAATAGTACCCACCTTGCAGGGATTACTTGCGATGTCTGGCCCATTGCTGGTCTTCTCACTAGAACTCACCTTCGCAGCAGTGTTGACAGACCGTCCCGTAACATCCCTCTACAGAGAAGGAAGCTGTTTGCCCAGAGTTGAGACAGGGACTATTGGCTCAGGTGATCCAGGTGAGCCTGGATTCCTGCGCCATGGCCTGTCCAATTTGCCCAGGGCCCTGGGAAAGACAGAGGATGGGGCATGGACTCCCTCTGTCCCCCAGGAGACCCCGGCTGTGGGCGGGACCCTGCCAGGTGCCAAGCCACAAGTCAAACAGCAGAGTAAGCTGGAGCCGTGGGGCGCCTTGTTGTTGAGTGTCCTGCGGCTCAGCTGAGCCTCTGTCCCCTTCTAGAGCTGCATCCCTCTTGTGTGCCCCAGGACCGCTGTGCCAGAGCAAGTGACCCAGAGCTGCTGCCTCTGCCCAGTGCCACCCGGCCCCAGCTGAGTCTGGTAGCGGGGTCTTGGGGAGCCAGGCCTGGGCTGCGGGCTTGTGGTAGGAGGTCTGGGAAGCCTGTCCTGTCCTACTGCTCCTTAGCAGTCATACAGGGTCCCCACACACCGCTAGGGGGATGAAAACACTGAACGGTGAGGTGCCCACACACCCACGTGGGGCTCTGTTTTCTTTTCCCTGCTCCTCCTCCTCACCACACCTGATCCATGTGGGGCCAAAGACCAAGGGTGGCTGAGGCCCTTGCCACTGCCAGGTTCAACTTCCTTGTACTGTGACAATATCCCCAAGCCGGTTACCTTGACTCTGCCTTCCTGCTTCCAAAGGGACTTTTTGTACCCCTTTATTTACCACAAGCAGTGCATGTTGAACATAGAAACACAAGAGCATCCTAGTAGGAAATGATACTGGTATCAAAAAATTCCCAGACCCAAAAACTCTACCCAGTGACCTAACCTTTCAGTGTAAACCTCTCCTGCCTTTCTCGCTGCAAGTACTCACGTGCACAGACACCTGCCTTAAAAAATTATAGGGATTTGTTACCTATTTGGGGTGTTTTGGCTTATAATTCCTGGATGTGAAACCTGGCTTATCATTCCTGGATGTGCTGCCATATCTAAGGGCTGTGTGCATAGACAGTGTGAATGTATCATAATTTAAAAATATTCATGTTTTGATACACTCTTCCAAACGTAATCTGAAAGTGAAATTACCATGTCAGAAAAGGAGGATTTTGATATTGATTGCCAAATATTCCCTCAGAAGGTTTATGCCAACCTATCTTCCCATTTGTGGTATATGAGAGCATTCATTTTCCCATAACCTACTCAAATGGAATATTTATATTATCTTAAATAGTTTCCAAATTTATAGGACAAAAATAGTCCTTTGTTTTATTATACATTTCTTTGATTAGTATGATTTAACATGATCGTATTTGTCTATTGGCAGTAAGTTTTTTTTTTCCTTTAGACAAATTGTTTCACACACATGTAAAATCTTCATGCATGAAAATTTATATACTTTGCTTTATCTTTCTCCTTGTAAAGCCTAAGAGTAGTATTTCCTAATACTTTAATGTTTACTCCTTATTTTTAATGTTTTTTAAGATTTATTTTTAACCCAATGAGCTATATTTTGGAGTAAGATGTGGCCTGTAGAGCTAGATTTACTTATCTAAATTCATAGATTTTTTTTAAAGGATGGTTTTAAATTTACAGAAAAAAAATGAGCAGAATACATGCCGCGGACCAGCACAGCAGTAGACGATGAGGCCGTCTCAGGGTTGAGAGACTGCGCAGGGTGGTCAGGGATTCGGCGAATAAATGACAAACAGACACACTTCAAGAGAGTGAAAATCTGAGTGTAATTTTCTTTGAGTTGGTGACCAGTATATATATGTTTTCTAAAAGCATAGGGATGGCGAACATCAGTGAAGAAATCAGCTTGCTTATAGGTTTAGCTTATCATTGGCAGGGCAGTGATTTACATCTGGACCCAGGAGCATTCCTAAGTAGTTAGGCTATTCATTTTTCTTTTTGTTTTATGTGATTACTTTTTTGTTTTAACTACTCACTACCACTAAATTACTATAAATTAATACGGGTGAGTTTTACTTTTTACAATGTAATATTTTTATCATTAAGATTAATACTAACAAGGCTAAGCATACAACAGAGAAATTATTAAGCTAACAGTTCTATTAATACACAGAGTTTAGTAACATTTCATTTGAATTAGCCTAGTTATTAGATTTCGTATGTTCTTTTTTAATCGGCAACCAATGACCTTTTTAGACAGAGAAAGAGAAAAGATTTTAGAAAGAGAAAAGATTGTAGAGAGACAGTTGTATTAGAATAAAGTTTGTGGGCCTTGAGAAGGCGAGATAAGGTTTCCTGTGGTCAGCATTCCTGTAGTGGCTCCTTGGGGTCGTTATCTTTCAATAGGCTTCTGTCTTATCTATGTCTTGTGGGGGTTTGCTGTTCTCCCCCTGCTTCAGGGAGTTTTGCTGTTCTCCCCCTGTCTGGTTCCTTGCCCAGCCGGACCTACCTAGGGACTGTGGCTAAAGCCATTAGCCCTAAAGGTCACTGCAGGGGGAGGTGCAGCAAATACAGAGTTCCCATATAAACCCTGGATGAGGGTTACATTTGATACTCTCACTGAGCCAATAGTGACACTATTATTAACTACAGCTCAGTTTATATCAGGTCCAACTTTTTGTTATATATTCTGTGAACTTTGACAAATGAATAATGATCTGCATCTCTGTCATAGTAGAGAACTTTGTTTCTGGTAAAAAAAAAAATATGTTTCACCTGTTCATCCCTCCCTTTCTCTAACCCCCTAGCAACAACTAAGCTTTTCTTTATTACATTTTAAAAAGACAGTTTTCTTAGAAAAAGAAGAAAGAAAAAGAGAGTCATCTGCATAGTCACAGGCGGGCAGGAGAGCTGACCAACCACTGAGATTATTAAATAATAGACGTCATTATATATTATATATCATAGATAGATTCTTGCTTCTCCTCTCTTGCCCACCCTGTTGAGTGTCTCCTCCAACCTGCACCCTCCAGAGCACAGATGTGCCTGGCACTGAAATGCTAGGGGTTTCTTTTGGGTGCCAATTTTTCCCTGAGGTAGGTTTCCGCATCCCCTGGAGTCACTCTGTCAGCCCCCTCAGTTCCCTTACCTTCCACTGCATCCTTGGCCCTGAGACTGTCATTACTTATGATCTTCCCAAACTGTTATTTTCCCAATGGAAGCATTAAAAAGAAAGCGAAATCTCTTTTGACCCAGATTTCTATTGAAAGTGAGAAGGTGAATGCTAGACCCAGAAGGCTTCTTTTCTTCTCATTAGATTGAGGTACCTTCATTAATTTATATTACCTTCCCAGGGTCCTACTAACACTTCAGTTTGTGACCCATGCTCTCAGAAGGCCCCACTTCCTGGGTGCAATAAATGCTGGTTGATGGTGTAACTCAGACTCTCTGCCTGATTACTGAGGTGTGTCATTTTAATGTGCACTAGGATAATATGGCTAGTAATGCAGCCCATGCTTTCAAGGTTTTCAAATTTTCCTTTTATTTATTTATTTTCTCTAAAATTTCCTTTAAAGCATCTGGAATAGCATAGAATATTCCAAAGCAGGCCAGTACTCCCACTTAGAATAACTGAAAAACTTGGTTAGATTTATTTCTACATTATAGTAGCTGTATCTATAAATCTACACATTTCAAGGTACCCAAAGCCTTTGAAGCGATACAGATTAGAGGGAATAAACTTCCAGTGAAAGGAGAACTTTTAGAGATGAAGTGAGGCGCGCTACCTGCCTTTCCCTGTGGACACTTGCTGATACGTGTGAGTCTTGATGTGGGCCAGGGCTGCTACTGGCAACAGGAAAACAGCCAGGGGTTTTATTGATCAGGAATAGTGACATCATTGCTGTCTTGCAGGCCTTACACACATTTCTTCCTCATGGTATTTGTTGAATTCCAAAGCTGCCAAAGGTAGAAAGCTGAGCTAAGTCAAAAACCTCTGAAAAGTAGAGCATAAGTTTCCAGTCTCTCAGTGCTAGGGAGCTACCTGCATCTAAATTTGGAGTCCCTGGAAGGCCAAGCCCTGGAAAAAGGAGTGGGCAAGAGGTAGCCTCAACTTACTAAAACTGCAGCAAAGCATCAATCCATATCAGTCCATGATTAGAAAAGGTAGTCATCACAGGGTCTCAATCGATTCATCTACTATAGGACTTCTTGGTTGCTTCCTACTAAAGGACGTCTTGCTTGCTTCCAAGTTTGGGCAGTGGTAATTAAAGCTGCTAAAAACATCCATATAGGTAGGTGTTTGTGTGCACACAAGTTTTCAACTCATTTGGGTAAATGCCAAGGAGCATGATAGCTGGGCTATATGGTGTGAGTCTGTTCAGTTTCCTAAGAAATTGCCAAGCTATTTTCCAAAGTGGCTGGACCATGTTGCAATCCCACCAGCAATGTATGAAAGTTCCTGTTGCTTCATGTCCTCATCAACATTTGGTGTTGTGTTTGAGATTTTGGCCATTCTATTAGGTATATAGTAGTGTCCTGGTGTTTTTTTTTTTTTTTTAAGATTTATTTATTTATGCATACAAGAACTAGGGTACAGGCCAGAGGTGCAGGGGGTAAGAGGATTCACCAGAGACAGAGTGGAGAACAGAATAGGCAGACTGACTGAAATACACTGCCGAGGGGATCAGCAGGCAAGACAGGAGAGGTCTGCTGCACCATGTGGGTAGCTCCCTGGTCGGGGGCCAAACTCATGTCACAGTGTTTGGTGATAGCTTGATAGCACTGAGACTTTCACCCCTATGCCATCAGGGAGCCTCCCTTCCCCCAGTATTATTTTAATTTGCATTTCCCTGATGATCTCATGTGGAACATTTTTCATATTCTGATTTGCCATCTGCCTGTTTTCTTTGATAAGGTGTCTGTTAAGCCTTTGGTCCATTTTTAAAATAGGTTGTTTTCTTATAGTGAGTTTCTAGAGTTGTTTGTCTATTTGAGCTGACTCTCCTTTATCAGATCTATCTTTTACAAATATTTACTCACAGTCTGTGACTTGCCTTCCCATTCTCTTGGCACTGCTTTTTGCAGGACAGTTTTGAATCTTAATTCCACTTATAAATTTTTACTTTCATGAATCATGCCTTTGATGTACTGGTGTGCTCTAGTGTATCTTAAAATCACCAGATTCCTAAAATCCTTTAGGTATTTAGGTTTTCTTCTGTTAGCTTCTAGTTTTATAGTTTTGTGATTTACCTTTAGGTCTGTGATACATTTTGAGTTAATTTTTGTATAGCGTGCAAAGTCACCTATTTGCATCTGGCACCATGGGCTGAAAAACCATCCTCCATTGCAAGCCTTTGGTTCCTAGTCAAACAATAAAAATTTTAGAAGACATAAAGAAAACTTTTGATAAAGTCTACTATATCAAATTTAAAGATCTCTGTTCATCAAAAGATACACAATAGAGAGTGAAAAGGCCAAGCCACATAATTGAAGAAATTGTCCAGAAATGTGTCTGACAAAGGACTCACAGTCTAGATAATTTCAAAACAAAGCTAACAAACTTTTAAAAATCCTCCCGCAATTAGGGTGGAAAACAACACACAATAGAGAAAAAATAGGCAATTGGCTGGCTGAGGGAGGTCAGTGAAGAGAAGCCCTGGCATGGTACAGGTCATGGGCAGGCAGGAAGGCTGCTGCCCTGTGGAGGGAGAGAGTTGGTGAATAGCAGCATGGCATAGGCACAGGTGGGCAGAGGGATGTTTGCAGAGACTGCATGGATATAGTCTTTGGGAGGGCCTCACTCCTTGGAGCCTTCAGTTGGTTGCTGATTTTGGATATCTATGCAGAATCCCAAAGGGACAGGAGATTCTACAATGGGCTTAATCTCCATATCTTTACCCTTGGGCCTGTGCTCTAGACACTCCCTACAGCATCTGATCCCTGCTTGGATCTTACGCTTTGTAATCTAGGCATTGGCGCCTAAGGATCTTGGTTTCTATAGCTGGGTCAATGGCTATGCTAATCTCTTCTACCCCCACCTCCAGCTCTTGGCATTGTGTGAGCCAGGTTTCTGGACATGTGTGTGCCTCCTCTTCAGTTTTTCTATTCTTGTTCTCCATCTCTCTCACAGGGGTAGTCTGGGGGCGGCTGCCTTCCTTGCAGTCCCAGAGGTAGCCCAAGGCCAGGGCTGGCCTGGGTCAGGAGGGACTATACAACAGCTCCCATGCACCACCCGTGGTCTAAGGCTGCTGCCTATTTCTTCCCCAGATCTTCCCACCCTCCTCTGCTGCCATGAAGATCGCAGTGATTGGGCAGAGCCTATTTGGCCAGGAAGTTTACTCCAACCTGAGGAAGGAGGGCCATGAGGTCGTGGGTGTCTTCACTATCCCAGACAAGGATGGGAAGGCTGACCCCCTGGGTGAGTGGGTGGCCCAGGAGTAGGGGGGGAGAGCCCTAGCAGGTAGCTGTGGGCAGCGGGTGGGCACAGAAGCCTGGGCATCCCTGGCTGGAGGCAGTTGTCACATCCACTCTGAGTCCTGCTCAGGTGGCAACTGAAACAAAGGGGTGGAGGTTCTGGCCTGCACGGAGCCACTATGAAGGGTGCCAGCTCCCAGGGCCCTTCTGTCTGACCACCCCACACTCCACTGACCCCAGCATCCAGGTGCTGAAAGGCGCCAGGCAGGAGTCGGTCAGTGTTCTTGAATGTGAGGTGGCTGTAATATGGAGCACTGTGTCCCCTTTGAGCTTCCAGTTGGAGTTTTGGGGTAGAGTCTCAGAATTTGCATTTATTACAAGTTCAGATGTCTCGGTAGTAGGTAGCTGTGTGTGAGTCCAGGCAGAGTAACCCCTGAAACTCTTGGGAGATGCTATGGGGCCTGGCTGGGTAGCAGGATGAGTAGGAGGGACAGGCCTGGAGAGAAGCTGCAGTAGCCACTTGCCAGGGAAGGCAGAGGTGGCAGTGGGGTGGGCCCAGGAGAGGCTGGCTTCTCACCCACTGCCCTGCAGGCCTGGAGGCCGAGAAGGATGGTGTGCCAGTGTTCAAGTTTCCCCGCTGGCGAGTGAAAGGACAGGCTCTGCCCGACGTGGTGGCGAAATACCAGGCCTTGGGCGCCGAGCTCAACGTCCTGCCCTTCTGCAGCCAGTTCATCCCCATGGAGGTCATCAGTGGGCCCTGCCACGGCTCCATCATCTACCATCCAAGTCTGCTCCCCCGGCATCGAGGGGCCTCAGCCATCAACTGGTGAGACTGGACACCCCCTACCCCGAATCTGCCTGAATCTTTGCTCCCATAGCCCAAGCTTTTCTCTGGCACCGTGGAGCAGGCGTCACGCAGGGGCCTGTCCTGTGCTGGCACACGGCACCCACAGGCTGCTGTAGTGACGTCAGTAGTGACGATGTTCCACGGCCCCCAGCACAGGCACCGTTAAGCACTTTGCACCCCACAGCAAACCTGAGATGTGAGTGCAGCAGTGCTCCCACCCTGCCGTGGGGCAGCCAGGACAGAACAGGTGTCAGGGCTCACCTGAGGGCTCCCAGGAGGCTGCTGGGGCACCAACCCCTGCAGTGTTCCCAGACTCCTGGTCTGACATCCACCCACTGCTGGTCCTCTGGGCACCAGCTTGCTTGGAAAGAGAGATGGCAGGAAGGCTTGCATGAACAAGATCTTGTGATGATGAGAGATGCCCAGTGGGTGGGTGGTTGAGATGGGTGGTGGTGGTGGTGACACCTGAGCTGGCAAAGAGAGTGCTCTGACAGCAGGCTGCTCTGGGTGGAGGTCAGCCTCCCTGACCTCCAGTCATGTCTCTTCACTCCCCAGGGCCTCAGTTTCTTTATCTGTAAAATGGACATGCAACGACTGTCTTTGTGTTGGGAGGATAGGACTTTTCACACCATAGCTGGCACTTGGTTGATGTCAATAAATACCATTCTCCTTCTCCTCCCCCTCATGCCAGAGAAGGAATCCTGGGGGAAAAAGGGGGCTAGAGGATGGCAGGGGCCTCAGGGGCTGTCCCAGGGTATCCTTTTCTGTGATCCTCCCTTCTGGACTCACGGGTCCACTCTTCTGTTTGCTAGGACCCTCATTCATGGAGATAAAAAAGGGGGGTTCACCATTTTCTGGGCAGATGATGGCCTGGACACCGGGGACCTTCTGCTCCAGAAGGAGTGTGAGGTCCTCCCAGATGACACCGTGAGCACTCTGTACAACCGCTTCCTCTTCCCTGAAGGTGTCAAAGGGATGGTAAGTGCTGGCAGCTGGCTGGCAATCTGTTCCCCAAATTCCAGGGTTCTGCAGAAGAGAACTCTCATTTTAGGGTGTCAAAGAGGCAGGGTTGGGACACAGTGCATGATGTTAGGTGAGAATTTTGCTTATAATGCAGAGAACACAGCTCAAAAAACTTAAGAAGGGGACATCATTTAATCAGCAGGGATGGTGTCAGGTATGGCTGAATCCAGAGGCACAAGCCATGTCACTAGGATCCTGTCTCTCTCTCTTTCTTCACCCTGATTCTACTTTATTTGATCAACTCCATCCCCAAGTTGGCTGCCCTTACTGGGAGAAAGGAGTCACTGGTAGCTCACCTGTAGCCCACATCTTAAGCTAGCACACCTCCCGATTCCAGAAGAGCAGCCTTCCTTCTCCTAGAATTCATGAATGAAAAAAATCAGAGAAGTTTCTGATTGGCCAATTTGTATCAGGTGATCAAGTGATCATACTGAGCCCATCACTGGCTGGGATGATGGAGTACTTTGATTCGCAGAGCTTAGTCACATGCTTTCTGCTATGGCCCCATTATACTTCCATGATTGACTTCTCCCCAGGAGAGAGGGTCTGTCAGACGCAGACCTCCCCTGAGGCCCACCTCCCTCACAGTGGATCCAGGCTCCTCGGCTCTCTTTCTTCTCCTGCCCTGATTTCCCTACAACCTTCCTTTTCCTTTTCACAAGAAACTACTTCCCACTTCATCTCAGACCTCCAAACACATCAGAAGGCCTCAAGGTCCATTCTCCTTAAAAGAGAGAGAAGGTTTTAGATAAAAACAGCAATTTGTGTGTGTCGTACCTGGACAGGGCTTTGTAGGTTACATAATCTTCTAAGATCATGGAAGAGCTGCATGATCTTCTAAAATCTCGTGTGGTAGAGAGAGTGGGATCTTGTGCCCATCACAAAGGTTAGAATTAGGTCTGGGCTGGCTCCACCTATTCACATAGTAGCTATTTCTTGGTGCCCAGTATGTGCCAGGCATGTCTGGTCAATGTGGGGTGGTTTCCAGAGTCTGCGTGTAACCAGGGACTAGGGGTAGAGAGAGGGTCCTAATGCTGACAATGGGTTCCCCCAGGTGCAGGCTGTGAGGCTGATTGCTGAGGGCAAAGCCCCCAGACTTCCACAGCCTGAGGAAGGGGCCACCTATGAGGGCATTCAGAAGAAGGAAACTGCCAAGGTGAGTGGCACACCCTCCTATCCCAACCTGCCTGTGTGTGGGCTGGGGTGCAGAGGGTGCCCTGGGAAAGCAGGGGTTCAGGCTGCGAGGCCAGAATGTAATTGTTTAAGGTCAGAAGAGTCAGGGGACACATGAGCCACGCCTGGGTGGCGGACAGCACGTGACACCTGGACGGGCAAGGAACAGGGTCTGTTCTGGATTCTCCCTATTCCTCTTTAGGACAAATAGGCAGGCAGGGCCCCAGGGAAAGAGCGTGGGGTGGGTTGTGGGGTCTTTGGGCTGTATCTCTGCTCTGGGTTCATGGGATGCTATGTGAGCCCCACAGGTGAGAAGCTATCGGGGCATATGGGTGAGTGTGCGCTTTATGTTGGCGACATGTAGGCCTTGGCTATCTACAGCTGCGGAACTTTGTCTTCCCTAGAACGTCCACTACGTTAATCAACCCATGAAAGAACAAGCACCAGGACCAAGGTGCTAGGGAGAGACTCCCAGCTCAGGGACTTGGACCGGTGTCCTGGAGGAAGCCTGACTTCCCAGCTTTCTCCCAAGACTCCTCCACCCTCTATCCAGGGCCATCGGGGTGAGGGAGAGAACAGAGTCTCAGGGAGTGGGGAGGGACTGGCTGAGCACACACATCCTGCCTCCCCCAGATCAACTGGGCGCAGCCAGCAGAGGCCATTCACAACTGGATCCGCGGGAACGACAAGGTGCCGGGTGCCTGGACAGAGGCTGGAGGGCAGGTGCGTTCGTGTGTGGCTGGGGGTGGGCTGGGTGCCCTGGTGTAGTCCCATTGGCTGTAAAACTACCAACCTGTTTGAACTGGTTGGCAAATAGCCACTGTCCTAACCCTCAACCCCACCCGAGTTCCTCCTTCCCCTGGGCTGCTCCCCCAGGACTGTGAGACATCACTACCCAGAGGCTGAAGGATGGAGGTCAGGACTACTGGATCCCGCAGTCACCAGGCCTGTGTGGGTTGTCAGTGTTGTGACTTGCACCTTGGGCTTTGTTAAAAAGCTCAGAAATAGCAGAAGTAAAGCCAGTGGATCACCATAGTAGTAGCCAGTGAAAGCTCATTGTCACACACCAAAAAGACAGGCCACGACTGAGGAGCACAGGAACCAGCTGTGGTAGGAAACTCGGAGCCTGTCTCTGTTAAGCTGCTGGCCAGTCAGAGTCGGTGGCTGTTTACTCTTTGTGGTGATTGGTTATAATCTTAGGGTCTTCTTAAATAATAGGGAATTGGTTAGCAGTCACCTCAGATGAATTTTGAGGCCCTGTTTTCGTTTATGCTATTCAGAGGCAAAAGCCAGAAGGGATGCAGGTCAGGTTAGTCTTGCTTATCTTGCAAAATAAGCTACACGAAGCTCGGCTTGTATGGCTAAACTGGTTCTGTCTGCTAGGGAATTTTTGAGGCTGGTGTCCACTTGTGTTTGATGTTAACAGCTCTCAGAGACCCTAGCTCCAGATCCAAATCCAATTTTGACTTGGGCTTGGGGCGGGAGAGGCAGCCTGCTCAGGGCCTGGGACTGGCAGTGGGCCAGCCAGATGCTAAAGATGTGCTCGGGCCCATAGACACTCCAGAGGAGTCAGGCGTGAGCAGGACCATGAGCAGGGACCTTCATCCATACCCATCAGGCATAACCCTGTCCTCCATGAGTTCCTGGCTGGTTAAACCCAATTGCCAGCCGACTGCCCAGACTGTCCAGGAGTCTCTCTGCTGTCCTTGCTGCCACAAGAGCAATGACCAATGCCTGGTGCCATCCCCAAGGCAGGTTTCCCCACACTGAGGTGCCTTGAATAGATTTTCGTCTAGTCTGTCCACCTGAGGTTTCAGGCCATGGGCCACACAGAGGGTCTTGGGGCACTCACTTGAGGCAGCCTTGGCATCAGGTCCCTGAAGCCTCTGCAGCTGCTCTGGGTCTTATCTATGCCCCTGAAGGCAGGGTTCTTGGGGTCTAGGCATGCACGTGGGGGCTGCCCTGAATACCCTTCCTCTCCCTGGAGCTGCTCGGGCCTGCCTGGGCTATGGGCAGGGCCCATTTTCATCCACCGCCTTCTGGTTTTCTTGCCCTCAACAGAAGCTGACGTTTTTCAACTCGACACTGAACACCGCAGGTGTGGTGCCCCAGGGAGAAGCTTTGCCCATCCCGGGAGCCCATCGGCCAGGGGTGGTCACCAAAGCCGGACTCGTGCTCTTCGGGAATGATGACAGAATGGTAACAGCGCTGCTGGGGTCACATGTCTGTGCTGTAGGCTGCAGGCCACACACGCTTGTCCAAGTGCTGAGGCCCCACAGTTAGGCTGCTCACTCTAGGAGGGACACCCTGCTTGCCTGCCCAGGCCTGTGGGGGGCCCCAAGCACAGGCTGTCCAGTGGGGGCCTAACCACTTCCCTCTTCTGGGAATTCAGGTGCCCTGAACCTCTTCAGGGAGCCCTGAAGTAGGCGGGTGTGGCTGCGGGCCCCTAACAGTCACCTCTATAGCAGCTGGTGGATGGTGGGCCCGCCTGGAGAGGTCCTTGGGGGGCACAGACTGTGTCTCCCATGATATCCAGAGGGACAGCAAACAAAGGAGGCAGGCTTGGTGGACACCCTTGGTTGAAGCCACTCAGGACCTTCCATCTGGGATGGGATGGGCTTTAACTCCAGAAAGCTCCCCAACACCTTGGAAAGGCTTCAGGTGGGGGTCTGGCAGGGAGCCTGGCTCTGGTTCTGTTAGGTTTACAACTATGAGTCCAAGAGAGGCCTCTGGTGGCCTGTGCCAGGTGTTTCCATGGTGTCTCTCCAGCTGGGCTGGTGAGCAATTCACTGTCTCAACTGACTCAAAGTAATGCTCCAACTACTTTTGTCTAATGAGTAGGCATCATTTTTATAGAAATGTGAAGTAATTACACCAAAAAGAAAGCAAGATCGTGGTGGGGCGTGGGGGGATGAGCTCTGTAGTTTCCTGTGTCCCTGGAACAGCAGAGGCCTCTGCGCCCCTTATGATCCCCTCCGTCATTATCCCGGGCTCTGCCTGCCTTGAGGTGAGGGCAGGAGGTGCACATGCCCGCGGTGGAATTGTTCTCTTCCCTGCCGCGAGGGCACCTGCAGGCCCTGAGAAGGCTTCTTTTTGCAGCTGCTGGTGAAGAACATCCAGCTGGAGGATGGCAAGATGATCCCGGCCTCAAACTTGTTCAAGGCAGCAGACAGCAGTGCCCTGGAGCTGACAGAGGCAGAACAGGTCACCGCAGAGGCCGTGCGGGTAAGTGATAGAGACCAGAGCTACCGTCCAGTTGGGCAGGTCACACATTGCACATGTGTTTCGTGAATCTGACGCTCTGGAGTCGGGCCATGCACACCCTCTGTAGGTGTGTGTGTTGGCCCAGGCATGGTGTCTTGGTGCTTCCTGATGTCCCTCTTGCTCTCTTTCCCCTGCCATGGGGAACCTTGGGATTTGGCTGGCTGGGTCTGACTCATCTCAGGCCTTGTCCACAGTGGACAAAAGCAATAAAGTTCCTGGAATAACTGAGTCAGATGTCAGGTGCGTGGCCCTGTGATGAGAATGTGTGCACTGGAACTTCTGGAAAGGGTCCTGTAGGCAGAGCACAGGCATTCTAGTCAAACAGACCTGCGTTCCAGGCCATCTCAGCTACAGGGAAAAGCCAGAGACACTTCCTTCGCTGAGACTGTCCCATGGGAGGTCTAGTCAGTGGTCACTTCCCAGCCCTCCATCCTCCAGCTGGAATCTGAGCAAGGTGCTGTGTGCCATCAGGGTGCACCGCCTCTTAGAGGTTCCCACAGGGCTGGTGTGTCACTGTGTGTGCGGCACTGGGACCTGCAGCAGGGAGGCAGCACCCATGTGGGGGCTGCCCTGGATCCCCTTCCAGGGCACCCCTTCCATCACCTCAGGCGATGTGAGTCTCAGGAGGGTTGTCTTGTCCAGGGAGCAGACACTGAAGGTTTTGGGGTAAAGGTGATGCTACAGTAAGCCCTGAAAGATCCCCAGAATTTAAAGAGAACTGGGGATTCAGGGAAAGGCATTGCTGGTAGTCAAGGACCCAAGTGGACACCTGAGGAGCAGGCAGCAGTTGTGTGGGGACAAGAAGTGGCCTGGCGTGGCTGCTGGTGGTCACGCCGAGGATGAGGAGAACAAATCTGGCACATCTTTCCAAGAAAGAAGGAGGGAGCCAGGAGAAGTTGCACTAGGGGTCCCGATGGAGCCTGCACCACCACGCCGCATCCCTTTTCTGGACTGGTGACCATCCACAGTCTGCAGATAAGTCACAGTGTGGGGCCTCCTGGCTCTTGTCCAGACAGGCCTGGCGTGGAGCCCACCCAGAGAACAGTCAACTGATGGTTGATGGAGTCCTGGGGAGCTGCCCACTCAGTCTGAATGGCCCATTCCATGCCGCCCATGAGACAGGCTGGCGGGCGCCGCTGCCTTCCTCAGGTCCAGGACAGAGGGGCACAGCTAGTCTCTCAGTGAGGTCAAGCCCCAGTCTGCATTTTTACCCACAAGCCACCCCCCATTTTGTGCTCTTTTCCACACTGTGACACCCAGACTGGGGATACCCAAACCCAGACAACAGCACCAAGGTGAGGTCAGCCTTGAGGGGCTTCCAGGCCGCACCCTGAGCTCTGGCATGTCTGACCTGCAGAGAAACTGAGGTCAAGTTGAGGTGGGCACAGTGAGTGACCAGGCCGGGCAGCTGCTATTTCCCAGAGGTGGTCCTTGGGCCCAGCCTGGCACCAGCTTCCTCCCCACCAGCTCCCCAGGTGCCACCTTCTCACCACCCTGTTTTTCAGAGCGCCTGGAAACGCATTCTCCCCAATGTCCCGGAAGTGGAGGACTCCACCGATTTCTTCAAGTCGGGGGCTGCGTCAGTGGACGTGGTGAGGTAAGGCCGGAGTGCAGGGGTCCCATCCCCAGCGTCTGCATCACACCATCCCAAAATTGAGTGTCCGGAAACACCATTTGCTCTTGGACAATGCTCTTAAAATGCTCCTGGACAATGCGGGTCAGGGATCCGGAAAGGACGTGTGTGCAGGCCCAGCGGCAGTGGACTGACAGGAGCAGGGCAGCCAGGCAGGGACGCCCTCCTCAAACTGCCTTTTTGCTGCCTGTGTAGAGCCTGGGCCCCGAGGGCTGGCACTGCCAACTGGGCACACACTGTAGGTGGTGGTGGTGGCTCTTGGTGTGGTGATCTCCCTGTTATTATTCAGGAGCCCTGCTGATGTGGGGTGAGTGGGGTGAGGGGGAATACTCCAGTCCCATGATCGCGTGTTAGGCTTCAGCGGCCTGCTCCATCCCTGTGATCTGCAGAAGCGCTTGTCAGGCCCCTGCCACCCTCTCCCTCTGCTCTTGGTTGGCAGGAAAGGTGAAGGGGGCTGGAGGGGGCTTTTCCCTTCTCTCAGTTCAGCTGGACTCTGAGGAATTACCAGGCTGGGTACATAAGAAAAACTGCAGTTGGGATTTTAATGGACATCAAAATATTTGATTCAGACGATTCAGCTGTTGGTTAGGTGAAGGGAGGAGAGGTTATCATCTTCTGCTTGTACACAGGGTCTAATTTCTCTTGAGGAAAGGTGAAGTGTGAAAAGGGAAGTATATGTCTAGTTTTTAAGAAGTTGCCCAACTGCTTTCTAGAGTGGTTTCCAAAGTCTCACTTTTCAGCTCCGCCGGCAGTGTAAAGAGCTGGTTGCTTTCTGTCTTGGCCAGTCCTTGTATGTCCAGACACTTTAATTATAGGTAGTTTAGTAAGTGTACAGCCTCATCGCATGGTGGTTTTAATTTAAACCAGATCTTTCCGAAGGCACAGACTGGGTTCTCCACCCCAGCCCTAGGTGATGCGCTCTGGGATGAAGGACCCGTCTGGATACACGTTTGGCACCACCACCTCCCCTGCTGGAACAGCACCATCCTGCCAGTGCTCCACCCACTTTTTCTGTCTCCTTCTCCTCAGATTGGTAGAGGAAGTGAAGGAGTTATGTGACGGGCTGGAATTAGAAAATGAAGACGTTTACATGGCAACCACCTTTGGGGACTTCATCCAACTGGTAGTGAGAAAGCTCCGCGGGGATGATGATGAGAGCGAGTGTGTCATTGACTACGTAAGTGCTGGCCCCCCCCGGAGGACATGCCCTACACACCCCTCAAACCCCCACAGCCGTGGATCCACAATGATGCATGGGGAGACCTGGATATTTACAAAGCCAGGATCCCCAAGAGCTAACTCCTCAGGGTCCCAAACTTTCCTGGCAGCTCTGAGAGTCCCAGGGCAGAGAGCAAAGTCAACAGAGGAATTTGCTCTCTATGGTGCAGCGTATGGGGCAAACTCTGAGCTCCTTTTGTTGACCAGATGGCATGGGGGCAATTGAGAACATTTTCCCAAGAAGAAAACGAATGAACCTATACATTGCTTTTGTATATGTGGGAGCGTGATGAAGTCATTGTAAGTCTACTTTTAAAAGAAACTCTTGAAAAGTCACGCCTGGGGTATCTTAGTAGCCACCAACTCCTAAGGGAATTGGCTCTGGGGTAGTTTGTTTGGTGGCCAGGATGGACTCCAGATTGGCCTGGGGATGGTGGACAAGACTCCTGAGCAGCTGTCAGGAGGGGAATGGCATCCAAGGGCTCCTGATTCCACCCGGGGTGCAGGCCCCCTGGGAAGGGCAGTGGGCGGTTGTCATGTCTGGTGGCTTGCAAGGCTGGTGCACCCTCCGCTACCCCCAGGCAGGGGCTGGGCAGCCAGCCTGAGGTGCCCCCCTCCATGGGTGACGGCAGAGCTGTAGCTCCTGCAGTCTGGCCTCAGAGTCTGTGCTCGTACCTTTTGTTACTTCTCAGTCACCAGAACATCCACACCAAACCTCTTGGGTGACCCGATTGAGCAGATTTGGCTGAGGAGGCCAAGGAGCCATGAGCTTGGTCTCAGGGGTGTGTGTGTGTGTGTGTGTTTCCCGGGTGTCTGTGGGTGTGTGCCCATCACTGGTGCCTGTGTGTGAAGAAGACACTGTAAACGAAACCCTCGGAATTTTCCTTCCAGGTGGAAAAGACAGCGAACAAGATGACCCTCCGAATGCCCCACCAGCTCTTCATCGGGGGCCAGTTTGTGGATGCCGAGGGTGCTAAGACCTATGAAACCATCAACCCCACAGATGGAAGCGTGAGTCAGGCCCAACATCCCCTCCCTCTCTCCTGCCCCCCACTGCTCCCCAGGGTTTCCTATGGCCTCAGGGCCCTGGGCCTCAGTGGGTTTGGGGGACTCTGCTTGGACCCAGAAGTGTTGCAGTCAGTCTCTAGTCCCCCCTGCAGGAACAGCACAGAGATGCCGTGCAGAGGGTCTGGGGAGGGGGGAGGCTGTGCACTCTGGGATCTTGAGTATGCTACAAAGACTAGGAACAGAGTTACACCCCACTTTCCTCTGCGTTTTGACAGTCACCTCAGCATGGGCCCCAGCCTCTCCAGTATCTGTCCGCCCCACTATCGGGAGCATTTCCCTTGAATCCACGTTTGCCAGACTTTTTGGCCATGATCTTCTGCAGCCTGTACTTTCACACATATACACCCCAAAGCAAGCCTTACCCGTACAGGTGCACACTGCGTGTGCTCTGTGCTGTCCTATCATATAGCATCACTCAGATGCCTGCAGAAGACAGCACCCCCAAAGTGGGTCATCTGAGGGAAATTTATGGAAAGTGCTTGACAAGGGGGTACATAGGGTGTGGAGACAGGGACAAGGGGTGGGGTAGCCTCAGATAGGAACATCAGTTGCTGTTATACCTCAAGACCTATCTTGGGAGTCGAAGTGAGGCTATGTAGAAAGGGCTGGCCACAGACCTCCGCCTCGCCTTTGCCAGCTTCCCTTGAGCCAAGTGTGGTCTATGTAGTGGTGCACATGGGCACATGATGGGGAGAAGGAGGAGGCGCCATTCTGAGCCTCTAATATCTATCTCATATCACTGCTCTTGGTAGGAGATGCTGAACTGATCCTCCTTTTGGCTGCAGCCTGAGTCTGTTGCCCTGAATGGGCTCAGCGAGAAGTGATGTCACTTGGATGTGGTGGCACAAATAGACATTTCCAAAGCCCTCCTTCCCCTGGTTGACACCTTCACAGCAGCCTCCTGTGGGTCACCTTCCCTTGAGCACCAGTCATGTCCAGGGCCAGCCTGTTGGTCAACCTTGGCAGCCTCCAAGCTGGCCTTTAGCCGGCCTACTGATTGAACTCAGGAGTCTTTAACCATAGCACAGGGCTAGGGAACTGGGCAACTTCACCAAAATCCAGGCTGATCTGGACCTGCCTGCTGGTTGACCTCAGCAGCCTTGAGGATGAGCCTGGGGCTGCCACATGGTCAACCATGGCAGCCTTCAGGCTGAGTTGTTGGCCAGGCTTGCCGGTCAACCTTGGGAATCTTTAATCGTCATGCAGGGCTAGGGTACTGGGCAAAATTGCCAGCCTCTGGGGTGAGCCAAGCCTTTTCTGCTGGTCGACCTAGGCAGCCTCCAGATGGAGTCTGGGGTACCCCTGCTATGAGCTCGGCAGTCTGACCACAGTCCATGGGTGGGAGCTGGTCCACCTCAGCAACCTCCAGGCTGAGCCTGCTGGTCAAACTCAGCAGCTTGAGGATAAGCCTTTGGCAAGCCTGCTGGTGGACCTAAGCAGCCTCCACGGGAAACTTGGGGCAATTCTCCTGGTCAGCCTCAGGAGTCTTTAATCATAGCACAGGGCTGGGGTACTGTGAAACTGGCTAGCATCCAGGATGAGCCACTGCCTATCTGCCGGTTGAACAAGGTAGCTTCCAGGCAGTCTGGGGCAAGCCTGCTGGTCCACCTCCTCAGCCTCCAGTCCGACCTGGGGTAGACCTCCCCAGCCTCCAAGCTGACCCAGGGCCATCCTGCTGATTGACATCCCCAGCCTGCAGGCCGACCCAGGGCTGGCCTGCTAGTTCACCTACCCAGCCTCCAGACCAATTGGGGCCAGCCTGCTGGTCGACCTGCCCAGACTCCAGGCTGACCTGGGGCTGGCCTGCTGGTCAAACTCCCCAGCCTGCAGGCTGATGTGGGCCCGGGCTGCTGGATGACCTACCCAGCCTCCAGGCCAACCCAGGGCCGGCCACTGGTTTACCTCCCCAGCCTCCAGGCTGACCCATGGTCAACCTGCTAGTCTACCTCCCCAGTCTCCATGCCAACCCGAGGCTGCCCTATTGGTCCACCTACACAGCTTCCAGGAAGACTTGGGGGTATCCAGCTTGGGGGTATCAGTCACCTGTTCTCATTTAAGGAGCTTTTAGTTGCGGTAAGGTTCATGATCTGCCACTTTTCCATATGGGCTCTCAAAGGCTGTTCCAGTTGCCACCTCTGAGCTAAGACTGGGTCCAATCTGTGCTCAGCCTCAGCACCCTCCAGACTGAGTCCACCGCAGCCTGCTGGTTCACCTCAGCAGCCTCCAGCATGAGGCTGGGTCAGCCTGCCTGTCGACCTCCCCAGCCTCCAGGCAGACTCAGGGGTATCCAGCTTGTTGTGCTTCTGCCTTTGAGGATGAGCTGGATCAGTCAGCTGTTCTCATAGAGCAGTGTAGTTGAGTTAGGGTCCAGGACCTGCCGGCTTTTCCCTATGTGTCTCTGAAGTATCCTCCAGAGCCAAACACTATTGCTTCTCTGAGTTAGGACTGGGTCCAATCTCTGGTCAGTCTTAGCACCCTCCAGACTCAGCCCGGAGCAGCCTGCTGGTCGACCTCGGCAGCCAATAGCCTGAGGCTGGGCCAGCTTACTGGTTGACTTCCCTAGCCTTCAGTCTGACCCCGGGTGTGCATGCTGGTCATCCTCCCAGCTTCCAGGCTGACCTGGGGCTTGCCTTGTGGTCCACCTACCAAGCCTCCAGGCCAATGCTATTGGCCTGCTCATTGACCTCCCGAGTCTCCAGGCCAACACAGATACATGGTCAACCTCTCCAGCCTCCAGAGCAACTCATGTCTGGCCTGCTGGTTGACCTTAGGTGTCTTTAACCATAGTGCAGGGCTCCAGTACTGTGCAACATTGCTAGCCTCCTGGTTGAGTCAAAGCCTGGTGGCTTTGTGACCTAGGCAGTCTCCAGGTTAATCTGGGGAAGGCTTGCTGATCTATGTCAGCAGCCTCCAGGCTGAGACCAGGTCCAGCCTGCTGGTCGATGATCCCAGTCTGCAGGATGAACACCGGGGCATCCATCTAGGTTTGCCCTGAGCTTCCACATATCGCAGAGTCCAGGGTTTGTGTCTCCATGTCTGAGGGAGGGCTTCATACTCTCTTCCATCACAGGTCATCTGCCAGGTCTCCCTGGCCCAGGTCAGTGATGTGGACAAGGCAGTGGCTGCAGCAAAGGATGCCTTTGAGAATGGACTGTGGGGGAAGATCAGTGCTCGGGACCGTGGGCGGCTCCTATACAGGTGAGAGCCCCTCACCCACCTGCTGCCACCACCACCTTCAGCTTGGGTGGGGCTGGACCTCAGTCCTGCCCAGAGGAGGTTGGGTCCAAACAGGTCATGCAGTCAGCCCTGAATCTCAGAAAAGGCTTCTTGAGGAGGCCTTGCCTTGTGAGGCAGGAGAGATTTCAGCAGATACAAAGTGGCTGACCCTTAGGGGAAAAGTGAGTCCGGAGGAGGTGACATTGTGAGCAAAGATGAGAAGATGCAAAAGTGAGGGTATGCTTCAGAGGGGTACTACAAACCTGCAGTGTTAAGAGCTGGGCCTGGGCAGCCCCACCTGAACCAGCCTGGGCCAGAGAGAGATGGGGCTCCTGTAGGCAGGGGCCAGCACTGGCAAGGCAAGATCCAACCTGCCCCAGCTTGTCCTCACTCAGCTGGGCTCTGATGGCCAGATGGCCTGCTTTCACATCCCTTGGTCTCACACTGTCTTTAATTTTTTAAACCAGCATCGCAGGGGCCCTCTCCTCCTGGCTCCCATCAGAAATCCTGGGGAAGGACCTGGGATTGCTCCTGCCTATGACCATAGGGTGAAAGTGAGGCCGGAAGAGAGATGCTCTCTCCCCTAGAGCCAGGAGGTCCCCAGGGTAGGAGCACTGCCCCCCAGGGAAGTGGGATGATGTTTCCAGAAGGGAGAGTCCCGGGCAGGTAACTTGCTTTTGTCTCTGCGTCCTGGCGAAGCTCTCAGGTACAGAGCGGCCAATGACATGGTCAGAGTGAGCTTGTCATGGGGTGGGAGACAGCCAACTTGGACTGGGAGTCAGAGTGCATTTTGTTTCAGCTCCTGGGGTCAGAAATGCCAGAGTAACCCCTGATTCAGGGAACCAGAGAGGGAAGCCTATGCATTGGCAGAACAGAATAGACAGCAGGGTTTGGGGCAGGAGGGCAGTGAAGGGTGGTGCACCCTGCCTGCTGTCTCTCAAGTTAATTTCAAGAACCGTTAGAGAAGCCATACATTTTAAAAAGCATTTGGCCAGCCAGTGACCCAGAGCCCCTGTGAATCCCGCTGCCCCAGGCTGCTGGTGGTGACCTGCTGGGAAGAAACCCACCCAGAAGTGGCTGTCCCTCAAGGTGCTCTGCTGCCATCTGCTGGCACGTGGTGTAATAACCCCACCAATCCTGATAACCGCGAGGGTGCCCTGCGCAGTTCTAAGTGGAGACCTTCAGGGGTGGGTGGGCACCTCCAGGCATGAGAGTGCCTAGTGACACAGTCCCTGCTCTGAGCAGCCTCCCAGTCACCAAAGAGGAGTCATGCCCTCCTCCATGCCCAGGAGGGGGCAAGGCAGGATGTCCCAGAAAATGGCTGCAGAAAGCCCATGGAGTAAGATGACTGAGGGCTTTCAAACTGTGAAGGAAGTTCCAGAAGGGAGAGTTAAAGACATCGCTAGTCAGCCCCCAGGTTCCCTGGAAGACAAAAAAGAGCCTCCCCAGGAACCTGGAGAGCCAGGGTACCATGAAGAGCTGCCAGGGTACCATGAAGAGTTGATGGGGGTGGGGGTCTTTGAGAAGCTGCTTCCCGAGTGCAGACACGCCGAGAGCTTGGTGGTGGCCCAGGCTGCTGTGGGTCAGGCGGCCAGCCGAGCAAGGCCAAGCTACCCAGGTACCTCCATGTCTGGCCTTCCCGTGTTCACCCTGCAGACCGTCAGGGGGTAGTGCTGCTTCACTGCTCCTGAAGCCCCTCCAGCCGGAGCTACCTGGAGACAGGGCTTTTCCTACCTGACAGCAGAACAGCCTACTCCCTGCCCTTGTGTAAGAATACTCAGAAGAGTTAATTTTGCGGTTCATGATGCAGCCCCATTACCTGCTCATTGCATAACCAGGAGTGTCAGGAGTTGGAGGAATTTGGGATGATCAGGGAAAAAGACAGGGCCACGAGAGTCAGCAACTCAGAGGACTTTATTGGGGGCACTTGGGCAGGTTACCTGTGGGGGATTCCCTAAAGCTGGAGACCCTCCAGCAGCTGGGGTCATGGGGGGGTCGATACTCAGAATGAAGGGCAGACAAGGGAGCTCCCAGGGAGCAGGAGGGTCAAAGTGGGGGCTCCTGTGTCTGGGTGATGCCTCTGGCCTGAGGGCAGCAGCTCTAACTGCACAGCCCATCCCCCAGTGGCACAGCTGTGGGTATAGCTGCCTGTGGCTGGAATCACGGGAGGACAGGAGGGCACCTGGACACTGACGGTCTAGACTCAGCCTTGGGGGGCTGTGCAGCTCCACCTGCCCTTGCATCTCTCCCACCGGGGCGGGGATCCCTCCATCCCCAGAACCTCCAGCCCCTTGGTGCATACTCTCCCAGATTGATTGAGGTTTGCCTCCCCAGCTGAAGTCCAGAGACAGCAGGGTCTCCTGGCATGGTGACTTCCTTGAGACAGATGCAGGAGTTCTGCAGGGTCACATGTGAGGAGTGTTTATTATAACAGGCGATGCTCAGCATTTCGGGAGAGGGACAGAGCGCACCTGTCTTCACTCATTCAGTGAAGTGAATGTTGCTGTCCCATATCACAGATAGGAGGCTGAGGTCAGTGCCTCTGAGTGTGGCAGAGCTGGGGCATGCAGGCAGGAACCCCAAACCCTTGAAGAAGGACCTCAGGTAATCCAGAGCAGACCTGAGCCCCTCTCCCTGTCCTCCTGTACCCCATGTCCAGGTTGGCAGACCTCATGGAGCAGCACCAGGAAGAGCTGGCCACCATCGAGGCTGTGGATGCAGGCGCCGTCTACACACTGGCCCTGAAGACCCACGTGGGCATGTCCATCCAGACCTTCCGCTACTTTGCCGGCTGGTGCGACAAGATCCAGGTGGGGTCCGGGCTCCTGCCTGCCACGTGAACACTCTGTGTGCTGTGTGACAAAGCCCACAAGTTAGGCCTTAAAATAACACTGGGTATCAGCTCCCAGCTCTGCAGGTGGGAATCTGGGTGGGTTCTAGGCCAGGGTCTCGCAAGGTCGAAGTCAAGGTGAATCCAGGCTGGGCCTCACTTGGAGATAGATGAGGCGACCCCACTTCCAGACCTGCACAAGTGTTGGCAGAGCTTAGCACCTGCAGTGGCAAGACAGAGCATTCATGGCTTTGCTGGCTGCCAGCTAGGGCTGGCTACTGCAGACCTCTCTCTTGTCCTTGCCCAGCCCTGCACCCTCCAGGCCAGATCACCTTTCTTGGGCTCAGAAGTCCTCTGACTCTCTTCACTAGCTGGAGAAACTGCTTTCACAGGGGTACCTGGGGTTATGCTGGCCCCACCTGTTTCCTCACCTCATCCTGGGCCACCCTGCCATACCCCATCATCACAGGTGGGGGTAGCTCGTGATCTCCCAGGACCCATGGGCCAGAGCATGACCCTGGGGATCACTCTCAGAGATTTAATGGCCTTGGTCAGTGATAGGTCAACCCTTCCTAGGGACACCCATGGCTGTGGGACTCACGGTGTCTCTGCCGGGTCTGTCACCCCGTCTGACTCCTCTTTGCTCCTCTCTCTGGGTCTGAGGTGTGTGGGTGTGGCAGTCATGAGGGAGGTGGCCTCCCCACCCTGCCCTGTGCCTGCTCCCCATTCTGTCGCTGCATCACTGCTAGCTGCAGCAGCCTCCACCTAGGCCTCCCAGGCAGCAGAGCTAACAGCTCCAGAAGCAGCTCTGCCCCCGCCACATCTTCACCCTTTCTCTGCCCCGGTGTCAAAGCCAGGCTCGCCTATCCCAGGGGCAGCCTCCTGTCTAAGGGCTCTGCTGCCCGCCCCCCTGAACTGACCTCCCATACTTCCTTGTCTGTCGTGTGCCCATGTTGCTTAGTGACTGCCAATGTTGTGGATCTGCCTTAAGGTTCTTTTATGATTGCAAAGTGCCCTTGGGCAATAACCACCAGGAAACTGAAAAATACAGGCTTATTACATCTGAGACCAGGGCCACCATGACGTCATAGACGGAGAGAAGAACACACTTGCACACACACAGGGCACACTTTCATGGGTTCTGCTTTTATGGGGGGGTGGGAGGCTAGGGTTTCACAGGCTCACTCTTTATTCATGAATTTAAAATACAGGAAGAGAGAAAAGACAGAAAAGTGCAAGTGGCCCCAAGTGGCATCCTCTAAATCAAGCAGGACCCGTCAGACAAAGGCCCTTCCATTGAGGGGTGCAGCTGCCCTTTATCCATGAGGACCTATGTGTTCATTGGCGCATCTTTGACTGGGATGCCTGGGCAACCGAGCTTAAGCCAGGCACTTCCGCTCCAAGAAGAAATTCTCTGTGGGGGTTCACACTGTCTACCTATACTGGGAGGTTTGGGACCCTTGTCCATCTGGATAGTGGGGACATCAGGATGCAGATGGGAACCTGCTCCTCCCTGGGGGTTCAGGAGCAGGCTGGCCACCCAGAAGGGAAGGGGTGAGGAACTGGAGCCCCCTCCCACCAACGCCCCTTCATGCTTCCTCCAGGGCTCCACCATCCCCATCAACCAGGCCAGACCCAACCGCAACCTGACCTTGACCAGGAAGGAGCCTATTGGGTGAGTCACAGACCAGGCCCTCGCCTGGCAATTTTCACACAAAACACTGGGCAGGCCCCCCCATCACTCCCTTCTTATGTATTTATCAAGCAGTTATTTGCCAAGTGCCATGTGTCTAACACTTCTGGCGCTGGGGATACAGCAGTGATCAGAAGTGATGGAAACGCCTGCCCTTGGGATCCAGACAGCTTTTTAGCTGATAAGAACAGAGGGCTGGGCCTTGAGGAGCCTGGGGAGAGGGCTCCCTCCTGGCCCCTGGGCGGAGGGGAGAGACCAAGGCCCGCTTCTCTCGCGGCAGGGTCTGTGGCATAGTCATCCCCTGGAACTACCCCCTGATGATGCTTTCCTGGAAGACGGCCGCGTGCCTGGCCGCAGGGAACACAGTGGTGATCAAGCCGGCCCAGGTGGGTGCGGAGCGTGTACGGGGCCTGCTGTTTATCTGACTTAGCGTAATACCTTCAGGCTCCTCTATATTGTCACAAATGGCAGGCTTTTGTCCCTTCTATGGCTAAGTAATATTCCATGGTATGTTAGCATATATACCATGTCTTCTTTCTCCATCCCTCTGTCTGTGCACATTTGGGTTGCTGCCATATCTTGGCTGTTGCAGAGAACTCTGCCATACACCTGGATGCAGGTATCTTTTCAGGTAGCCTTTTTATTTCCTTTGGATATATTCCAAAGGGGAGTGCTGGATGACATTTATACTATTAACCCTGACTCAGGCATTTCTCTAGTGTTTCAACATACTAACAAATTACATAACATTTTCATGCATTTGTTTATTTAAGCATCACAGCAATGCTATAAGAGGACCCTTAACCTGCCCTTTAATGGGGGAGGGCTGCTGACAGGCCAAGCAGGTGTCTCTGGAGGCCCCCTCTGGCCCAATCCCAGCAAGGTTTGACCATCCCCAGGCTAGGCCCCTATAGCCTGAGGCCTGGTGGTAGGTGACCTAACTTGTGTGAGCAAAGTTACTAGGGCCAGAAATATCCCTTCTCTTCCTTCAGAAGAGGAAGGTGTGATGGGGTTTGGGAAGGTGGGGGCGGTCAAGGGCAGAGGAAAAGCCTCCAGCCACGGGTTGGTCATTAGAATTACATCCAGACAGTGGAGCGCCCAGCCCTGCTGAGGCATTAAGAAGCTCCCAGAAAGCTGGGGCAGGGGTAGCTGAGGCAGAACCATGTCCAGAGATATACTCTGCGGCCTTCTGGGCTTGAGCACCTGCTGGGCAGTGCTGGGACTCTGCTCTCCTTGAGGTCCTGGTGTAAATAACCCAAGAGGGGCCCAGGCCTGGTCAAGGCCCTGGAGTTCTGCCAGGAGAAAGTGCTAGAAAGGCTCCTGAGCTTAGCAGGCCTTGTCCCAGCTCCCACCAGGAGCTGTGGAGCAAGATGTTCTGGGTTGGCCATACCCACACAAACATGGCTCCCCCAAGGGCTGTTTCTCCACAGGGCTCCTCCCGATGGCTGTTGACCCTCTGGAGAGGAATGCAGAGCCCCACTTTCCAACCCCGCCTGACCCATCCTCTTTCATACCCCTCAGGTGACCCCACTCACAGCCTTGAAGTTTGCAGAGCTGACCTTGAAGGCTGGCATTCCCAAGGGTGTGGTCAACATCCTCCCGGGATCTGGTAAGGACTGGGGAGGACAGGCATCTGAGGTTACCAGGTCAGTGCAGGGTCTGCTGCATGATGTGCCCTGGAGGGGTGGAGCCACCTGGTGGTGGTGGCCAGGCCTCCCTCCTGGAAGGTTTTTTTTTTACCTTTCAAATGCCTCCCCAAATGCTGTTCTTTTTTTTATGTATATATGTGCTCAGGAATAAATTACATGATTATATATATCTTGGGAATTACCTACCCTTGAAAATTTGAGACAATTTTTCTGTAGAACATTCCAGAATTAGAGCATGTGGGGAGGTAGTGTGCTAGTTGCTTTTTTAGTTTCTCCTTGGTTAGTGGTCTACTTATTGGGAAAGTTGGCTTTTCTTATGCTCATTTAAAGATGTGGCATAGAGTTGCATTAATAACTCCTTATAGCTATTTCCATTTTTAATTCTCCTCTTGACTGTTATTTTGTACTTTTTTCTCTTCTTGAATTGTTAAATTTATGGAAAATGCTTGTTTGTCCCACATCCCCTCAGAAAAAAACTCAAATTTCTTTACCCATTCCATTGCTAGTCTATTTTATCTTTTTTCTGCTTTTATTATTTTTCTGTCCTGTGTGCTTATTTTGTATTTTTTTGAGCTAAGCATTTGGTACATTCATTTTTATTTTTTGTGGTTTAAAATGAGGAAGCATTTAAAGCAGGCTTTGGTGACACCAGACACCTTTTTATTTATTTTTTTTGTGGGGCCCTCGCCGGCGGCAGGGGAATGAACTGGCGCTGCAGAGGCTGCGGACAGCCTCACAGCCCAGCGCTCAACCGCTGCGCCACCAGGGGAGGCCCTGCACACCTTTTTAAAAAGGGCATTTTTATCATTATAAATGTCCCTTTTGATTCCTTGTAATGGTATTTGTTGTAAAGTCCATTTCATCTGATTTTAGTATTGTATAATTATCAGTATAGAACACTCCAGTGTTCGTGATTGCCATTTGCTCTAGCTATCCTTTGCATCCTTTGTCTTCAACCTGTTTTCATCTTTGAATCTTGTCAACTTACTCTCTTAGATCTCCTGTAGAAGCCAAGTTGGATCTTTTTTTCATAATCCAGTCTGACAGTTTCTAGCTTGTGACTAACTTATCAAGGTCAATTTCAGAGTTATACTAATTTAATTCTAGTGTTAGATACAATTCCTATGTAGCGCTATTATCACCTGTTGTGCTATTATTACCTATCTTTATGCATCTCACATCTGTATTTGTACAAACCCAATAATACATTGCTATAAGCGTTACTTTATATAAGTTTAGGTGTATTAAAGAAACTAGAAGGAAAGAAGGGCAAATGTATATTTATAAGGTTTGTTACATTAACCTCATTTACTTTGGTTTTCTTCATTTGTTCCTGCTGAGTTGCTCTGGTATCAGTTCCCTGAGCAAGTACCCAGTCACCCTGGGGTGACAGCAGTGTTAGTCTTTCCCCTTCTCTCTCTATTAAGCTCTCCTTGGGTATCACACCCAGAGTTCAGCTCAGCCTGGTCTTCCTATTGCTTTCAACAATGCCCTGAAGCATGTATTACTTGATGGTCAGATCCAATTAAATCCAGGCCCTGTGGAGGGTCGTTTTTGAAGCCAGCTTGGAGGTTTATCCTCACCCAGAAATTCACTGGTTCTCGCTGGTAAACAAGCCACTTATGGTTTCACTTAGTGCTGTTGGAGCTATCAGCCTCCTCGTAGTTACCCCAAACATTCCGCTGCTTTTGAGAAGCATTGAACTTTGCCACAGTTTCAAAGAAAGTCTTGTTTTTTTTTTTTTAAAGATCTATTTATTTATTTTTTTTAAATTTTTTTTTTTAGATCTATTTATTTTTGCACAGAAGAACTGGGGTATAAGCCAGAGGTGTGTGTGTGGGGTGGGGGGCAGTGTGTGAGAAGATTCACCAGAGACAGAGTGGGGAGCAGAAGAGGCAAATCCACTGCAAAACACTGCTAAGGGGAGCAGCCGGCAAGACAAGAGAAGTCTGCTGTGCCATATGTGGGCCAGGTCCCTGGCCAGGGATTGAACCCAGGCCTCCGTGGTGATAGCATTGAGACCCAACCCCTAGGCCATCAGGGAGGCCTTCGAGGAAAGTCTGTTTCTTTGGGAGAGTATTTTGGAGTTATCTGTTCTTATGGAAAACCTCCCCCCAACCCAAATTCTCGGTGCTGCGCCCAAAGAAGGGCTGGGGCCAGGCAAGTGAGGCCCCACTCTCTTAGCCTGTTACACCTAGGAAGAACCTTCTCCGCCTGGGTGGGGACTGGGTCTGGAGAAGGAAGCCCCAGCATCTCAGCACACTCACTGAGAATTTGGCCTCTGCAGGGCAGAGCTGGAGGAGATGAGGAAGGCTGTTGGCCTGCCCTGCCTTGGACTGGGAGGTTCCTGCCTTCCTGGCCACACCTGCCTGAAGTGAGCGTCCACCCAGCAGGTGGGAGAGGGGTGTGAGGAGGGGACAGGTGAGGGTGCAAGTGCCACAGGCTGGCCCTTCTTACTGAGATTTTTTTCTTGAATGAATCTTTCCTCTTTTATATATGCCATTGGGAATTTTTCCAGAGGCTTTTAATGGTTGTGTGTCTTTTAAAATGATTTTCCCTGGGAAATTGTCCCAGGACTCCTCATACTGGCCTTCCAGAAGTGACTCCAGACTTATTAAAAATGTGAACAATATTACGATCCATGTTTTTGAAGAATGTTTTGGTGCATGTTTTTATTATTCATGAATAATATATAATTTTACTTTTATTCTCCTTTCGGACCCGGTAACTAAAATGAGATTTTTAAAAATGTTCCAGGGTTTTTTGGTCTAAAATTTTATTTCTAATTTTATTAGTCAGGCAAATAATACATTCTATGTGTTAGTCGGTCAGGCTGCTGTAACCAAGAACCACACAGACTAGGGTGTTGTCTCTGTCTGGAGACCTGAGGTCTGAGATCACCATATGGCGGGGTCAGGCGCCCTCTGAAGGCACTAGGAGGAATCTTCCCTCACCTCTTTCTAGAATGTAGAAGCGCCTCCCCCATCTCTACCATGATCTTTATGTGGCATTTCTCCTCAGTGTCTGTGTCAATGCTATTCTCAAATAAGATCCCATTTTGAGATACCGAGGATTAGGACATCAACATAGGAATTTAGGGGAGACACAAGCCAACCCATAATAGCCTGTCAAATTTCTGCTTTCTAAAATATAGGATTTCTTTGTTATCTGATCTATGACACCTTCTTGTCTATATTTCATAGATAGCCTAAAACAGTGATTTTTCAGAGAAGTGTTGGGTTTATTAAAAAATTGAGCGGAGGGCCTCCCTGGTGGCGCAGGCTCAACCAGGCCTCCCAGGTTGAGCGCTGCACTGTGAAGCCTCTGAAGCACAGGTTCAACCGGCAGGTGAGAAAGCCACATGGCGCGGCAGACCTCTCCTGCCGCCCGCTGCTCCCCTCAGCAGTGTGTTTCGTCAGTCTGCCTGTTCTGTTCCCCGCTCTGTCTCCAGTGAATCCTCTCACCCTCCCGCGCATCTGGCCTATACCCCGATTCTTATATAAATAAATAAATTTTTTTTAAAAATTGAGTGGAAAGTACAGAAAGCCACTTTGGCAAGTAGCTGCAGGGAGAGGTTGTTTACTGAAATGGAGAAGCCAAGGAGAAGCAGGTCTGGGGAAAGCTTAAGCGTTCAGTTTTAAATATGCTGAAATTGACAGGCGGTGTGCCATCCAAGGAGAGGTGCTGAGCAGACAGAGGAATGATAAATGGATCTGGATCCCAGGGGAGCTGGGCTGGAAACCCAGATTTAGAGGGTGATGTGCCTGAAATGGCATCTGAAGAGGTGAACTGGGGTGAGAGCAGCCAAGACAGCATGAAGTGAGAATAGAAAAGAAGCCAGGATGGGGCCAGAGGCCCAGGGTATTTTAAGGTTGGATAGAGAAGATACAGAACAGTCAAAGATGAGGAGGCAAATTAGGAGAGACAAAATCCCAACTAGAAAAGAGAGAAAAGAGGGATTTTTATTGAGTTTGAGGAGAGGCCACAGGGAAGTCACATTGGAAAGACCACCTGAGGGTCAATAAGAATTAGCCACCGGGCCTCCCTGGTGGGGCAGTGGTTGAGCGCTGGGTTGCGAAGCTGCCCGCAGCCTTCTCAGTGCTGGTTCGATCCCCGGCCTCTGGGCGAGGGTCCCACATGGCGCACAGACCTCTCCTGCCGCCCGCTGCTCCCCTCAGCAGTGTACTTCGGTCCTTCTGTCCGCTCTGCTCCCCGCTCTGGCTCTGGTGAATTCTCTCACCCTCCCGCGCTTCTGACTGTACCCAGTGCTTGTATAAATAAATAAATAAATCTTTGAAAAAAAAAAAAAAAAGAATTAGTCACCTGGAGCGGGGGATAGAGTCCAAACTTTCCAAGTGGACTCCCCCTCCATCCCCCTCCCCCCATTCTCCTGCCAGGCAAGACCCCAAGGATCAGCCTTTAGAAGTCAGTGATCCTGGGGTGCCACCATTGTCCCCATGGTCCAGCCAGCTGTCCCTTTGTCTCTGCTGGAGACTCTGGAAGAGCTGGAAGCCTGGTTGCCTTCACCTTGGGGTCTACCCTGACAGGTGGGAAGTCACCTGGGGTTGGGGGGTGGTGAGTCTGCTCAGGCCACCATAGCAAAACACCTCAGGCTGTGGGCTTAAACAAGTGTTTCTTTTCTCACAGCTCTGGGAGCTGAATGAGGGTTGGTTCCTTCTGAGGAGTCTCTTGTGTGGCCTGTCTCCCCCCTGTACATCTGTGTCCTCAAGTCCTATTGGTAACTGAAATAAAGGTCTCAGGTGCCTCCCTGGTAGCCTAGGTTGAATCTCAGCACTACCACTGTGATGGCCCTCTGCAGTGTTCTGAATTGGATCCCCAGCCAGGGAGCTGGCCCACATGGCACAGCAGACCTCTCCTGTCTCACCCACTGCTCCCCTCAGCAGTGTATTTCAGCAGATCTGTCTGTTCTGCTCCCCACTCTGTCTGTGGTCAATCTTCTCAACCCTTGCACCTCTGGCCTGCACCCCAGTTCTTCTACACATGAATAAATAAATATAATCTTTAAAGAAAGAAAGGTCTCAGTGCTAGTTAGACAGACGGTTTACTAGATAAGCAAGGTGAAGACTTGAACCTGGAAGCATCTGACAGTTTACCTGTGAGAACTGCTTTGTCACAGGCTGGAGTTGGTTTCTTCACCTTGTTACAGAGCAGAGCACAGAGGAAAATGAACAGTCATCAGTCATTAAAATGTAATTATTCTTGGCAGAAGGCTTCTGGCGTTTGCTACTAGGTTTAAATCTTTTCGATCTCTCTCTTTTTTTTAAATATTTATTTATGCATACAAGAGCTGGGGTACAGGCCAGAGGTGCAGGAGGGTGAAAGGATTCACCAGAGGCAGAGCGGGGAACAGAGCAGGCAGACTGACGGAAGTACACTGCTGAGGGGAGCAGCTGTGCCATGTGGGTTGCTCCCTGGAGGCCGGTGATCAAACTGGGCTGCAGAGGCCGTGGACAGCTTCATAGGTTGCGTCTTAATGCCTTGTGCCATCAGGGAGGCCCTCTTTTCGATCTCTTAAGTTATCTTGACCTAAAGAAATGTTGATGTTGTCTATATGAGGAGGGGGCAGAGACTGGCCTCTTACCGCTCTCCTGACTTCTGCGGAATGCCCGGGGGGACGCCTGGGCAGGTGCAATTGTCAAGGTCTTGTTTTGCTGGCTACTTGGTATCCATGGTGGGCGAAGTTTGCTTTACCTACGGGTTCCAGGCTCCTGGTGTCTGCTGCATAGGACAGAGCCTGTTCTGGGAAGGCAGAGCAGGAGGACAGGCTCTAGGAGGACACCCGTCGGCTCAGATTAGAGCCACCCTAATGCCTGCATCTTAACTTGCTCACCTCTTTGAAGACCCTCTTTTCAAGTAAATATCTCGAATACTTAGGGATTCAACCTTGAGGGGACACAACTCTGCCTGTAACGAGCAGGAAGGCCCAACGAGCCCTGGTCACACGGGCCCCTAGCTCCCCAGAGCTCTGTCCTTGGGGGATGAGGGAGGGAGGAGAAGACTTGCGTTTCCCATCCTGCCATGTGGGGACCACCCTGACCTCTTGCCCACTCCCACTGCAGGCTCCCTGGTCGGCCAGAGACTCTCAGACCACCCTGATGTACGGAAAATTGGATTCACAGGCTCCACAGGGGTGGGAAAACACATCATGAAAAGGTAAGTGATGGGGTGTCAGAGGAGCCACGGCCGTGGTCGCAGTGTCAGGCATGGGCAGCGCTGGGGGAGCGCCGTCCTGCTCCCCAAGCCTCTGAGTGCACCGCGGTCACAGAGCCCACAGTGCCGGGTGTGGCTCAGCGTCCAGCCGGCCCTTGGTGAGGTCGGCAAGCTGCTCTACAGAGCTGCTGGGATGGGACGATGCTGGAGCCTGCCCGCCATGGGGCCACCAACCACACGAGGCTGCCGAGCGTTTGCATAGGCTACTTTGGGCTGAGATGTGGCCTGAGTATAGACACAGCCAGCGTCAAAAACCTGGCACAAAAAGTAAAGCAACTCATTGACAATTTTGGTAGTGATCACATGTTGAAATATATTTGATTAATTGGGTTAAATAAAATATGTTAGAATTAATTTCACCAGCTTCTTTTTAGTTTTCTTTTAACATGGCTGCTAAAACACAGCTGCCATCACACACGAGGTTAGTATCTGAGGCTTTCATCCTCCTTCTGTGGGGTGGCATCCATCTAGAACATCCTCTCAGCTCTCATTCTGGACTTTGGCCTCCCTGACTAAGATTGTGTTCCAGACCAAGTTGCTAATGTGCAGTATGACATGAACTAAACCCTGACCCTTCCAGGCCTCAGTTTCCCCACCAGTTTAGTGAAGGTTGCTTGACAGGCTTAGCGGTTCTGGTTGGGGAAGTTAGTAAGCTTGGAGAGATGGACACAGGGCCTCACCCCCACCTCTGAAGCTGAATTTCTGTGAGTGAGTGCAAATCAAGAGGCTTTGGGGCTCTGCTGAACACTCTGTGTCCCCAAGGACACGAGACCACCCAGGGGTCACTCATGTGGCCTCGAGGGCCCTCCAGCTTCAGCCTGATGATCCCACAGGGATCCCACACCTCCTCATGGCAGCTCCTGATGGGGCTACAATGTCCTTTCTCCCAGGGGCACTTCCGTAGACCCTTGCTCCATTCCCCGTGGGTGTGTGGGTGTGCCCAACAAGGTGGGGTTCTTGCCCCTCAGCTCTGTGCTCTCCCTCTGTGAGCCTGTCCAGTGCAGCCTAGGCCATGACCCCTGTCTTGAGTGGCACCACATTTGTGCTGATCACCATGGCTCCACGTGACATCCCCTTTGGGGTAAGGAGCCACTGACAATGGCTAGTGGATGGTGTCTTGTGGGTTGGTAGAGGCTGATGAGTGCCAGGCAGGCAGCTCAGATTCATTTTCAGTGTCCTAGCACCTGGGACAGGGCCTGTCCAGAGCAAGCCTTTGGTACTAAAGAGAGGGAGGCTGAAAGGAGCTAGTGATGAACAGGCAGATGGACAAGCGGGTGATAAAAGGAGGCCAGTGCTTTACTCACCTCTCCTGAATTGAAAGCTGGTGTCTCCTGTGTGGTGTGTAGGTGACAGTCACATTTGAGCCTATGTACAAAGTCCGGGGGTGGGGGGAGGCAGGGCATGCACATCGGCACTGACGCCAGGGAAGGAGGGCACAGGTGGGCAGCATTCTGGGGCTCTGGGGCTGCCATCTCCCAGGGATCCTTGCCAGTATCCCTGTGGCTGGCTTCTGAGATGGGACTCCCCTCCCACAGTCAGTCATGGGCAAGGAGATTGTCCAGCCCTGCTGTCCCTGGGCAGACAGTACATTCACTCCATCTCCACCATTCTTGAGTCCAGGGCCCCCAGCTTCTCTCTGCACCCATCACTGAAAATCTGATGCTCAAGTCCCTGTGTCCCAACTGGACAATGGTTGTGTGTCTGATTTATTCTTTAAATGTTTATGGAACACCAGCTGCGTGGCAGGCATCAGGGACAGACAAGCCAATGGGTTTTATGCCCTGGCAGTGGGGTCAGATGCACATGCACAGTGAGGCCTAGGAGGCTGCGTTTTATATGGGGTGATCAGGACAGGCATCCTAAGAAGGCGCCACTAGATCACAGGCCTGAAAGAAGGAGGCTGGGCTGGGGACATCTGAAGGAGGAGCGATCCGGAGGGGGGTAGTGGGAGAAAGGTCCTGAGGTGGGCCTGGCTTCCTGATGAGAGGAGGAGGGAAGAGGGAGTGTGGGGTGGGGAGACACCTCCCATTCAAGGCTAGAGTAACACAAGCTTTGGATCTGCTCTCGGCCCCCTCCCCCGGAGCCCCTGTGTCCAGGCCCCCTGCACCACCAACCCTCTGTTCCCTTCAGCTGCGCCCTGAGCAACGTGAAGAAGGTCTCCCTGGAGCTGGGCGGAAAGTCGCCGCTCATCATCTTCGCGGACTGCGACCTTGGCAAGGCTGTGCAGATGGTGAGGGCAGGGGCGCAGGGAGGGGACCTTTCTCTCCTCCCACAGGTACCTGGTCCTCGCGTCACCCCCACAAGCATAGACCCACAGAGAGAAGGGGTCTCGGGGACAAGGAAGATATGCACCCCCCAGCACACTTCTCAGGAGGCTTCCTCTGAGTAAGGGTGACTGAAACCATCGAGTAGGCAGTGAGCTGGGTTCAGCAGGTTCTAAACTCAGTGTGGCAACCTTTCCGGCCCCACAGAACAGTGAAGCAGAATGCAGGGCCCACGGGCACCTCCCTGCTGGCAGCAGGGCCCTCACCCACCCCCACTTCATGCCTGGTCCACGTTTGCCCCATGCAGCCCTGATTCCTGGGCACCCTTGTGGGGCTTTGGGCACCTACACACTCTCACCTGTGGCTCAGGGAGAGTAGGACCTTCCCCCCAGGGCCGCGCAGGTCACTGTTGGACATCCAGGGCTTAGAGCGCAGCTGCAGCACGCCTGTGTCAGTTGTCACTGGGAGGCCTTGCTCACCCCTGCCCCACGCCTGTGGGAACAAGCCAGTAAGTCCATGGGCAGCCAGATACGCACCCCCCATCTGAGTCCCACAGTGCCCCAGAGGATGTGCTGATCCCCAGCGTGACTATGACAGGGTCAGAGGTGGAAACCGAGGGAGGCCAGTCTGTCAGCCAGTCTTGGCTCTGCTGTCCAGGCTGACGCCGCTGAGCCAGCGGCCTAGGTCCTGTCGCCAGGCAGTGCAGTCCAGGACTAAAAAGCAGGCTCCCTTCAGTCTCTGAGGACATTTATTCTGCACTCCTGCCAGTTCACTGGGGCCTGAGCTGGCTGCCCTCCTCTGCCCCCTCTGGCGCCTGCTCTGGCTAACAGACTCCCCTCTCAGCCCCAAGAGTGTGGGCTCTGGCACAGAAGACATCCCTTCTCAGCCACCCCAGAAGCCTGCCTAGCAGGGGCTAACTCCATGCCTTCCCCCACCCTCCCCTCCTGGCCTGTGGGCACTGCCTCGCCCTCTAGTGGCAGAAGTCACGGCTCGGTTCTGTGGCCCCTAGATGCTGGCCTTGCCTCTGCCCTGTTTTCCCTTCTCCGCTGGAGGTGACTGAGGAAGGACGGGAGCACATAGGCCTGTGGATGGCAGCTCTGTATGTGGCAGGGAGCTGGGACTGGCACCCCCAGAAAAGTCTTAATCCAGATTCCTGTCCGTTCTCTGAAGGGGATGAGCTCTGTGTTCTTCAACAAAGGAGAGAACTGCATTGCAGCGGGCCGGCTCTTCCTGGAGGACTCCATTCATGACCAGTTTGTGCAGAGGGTGGTGAGTTCTGCCACAGGTCCTCACCCTGCCTCCTGGAGTGGGTGCACAAGCACTGCTTCAGCTACGCAGGCCATGATCTGGGTGCAGGACTAGTGAGGAGGTGCATGGTGCCGCGTCCCACTCACATGCACACCTGCTCCTTCTCCACTGGCCCAGGTGCCCGCCCATCTGCCTGTGTCCGTGCACATAGGACACGCTTGGAGTTTCAGCCTGGCAGGCAGGTTTGGGACGTAGTCATGGAATTACCTGAGTGCCAGAATCTGGCACGGGGGGCTTTGTTCAGAGGCCATGATCCGCCACCACAAAGCAAATGTGGGTGTGGGTCAGGTGAGGACCATTATCAGAAGCCCTGGCCCTGAGTGAGACCTGACCCGGAACCTGTCTGCAGGTCGAAGAGGTGAAGAAGATGAAGATTGGCAACCCCCTGGATCGGGACACCAACCACGGGCCACAGAACCACCAGGCCCACCTGCAGAAGCTGCTGCAGTACTGCCAACAGGGCGTGAAGGAGGGGGCCACACTGGTCTGTGGTGGGAAGCAAGTCCCTCGGCCAGGTCCGTCAGAGTTTTCTGGGGTATACTGAGGCAACAGGTAGTATGGCCTCAGGTTGCCTGCCCAGCTCTAACTGGAGCTCTCTGAGGCCACATGGCTGCATCTCAGTCAGGATCCCAGTGTGTCCTGGGCTTGGAGTGCTTCTGGAGAATCTCACCCCTGCAAAGGCTGAGACACTCCCGAATATCTGTCTCTACCTCCCCCAGAACCTCTGACCCCCCCAGACATCCCCAGTTGCCTGTCCCCCAGGCCCTTCAACTCAGTGGGTACCAACTCATCACATCATCACAGGGTCCCAGTCCTTCTGACCCCAGACACACACCCCTGACTTTCTAGAATCATCTATTGATCAAGTCACCTGAGTGCAAGAAACAAGAGTGCAGGCAGGGACTATTTGTTGTCCTCTGCAGCGCTTCACTGGAAGGGTTGTGAGGCTCACAGAAAATCACGTCAGGACAGGCTTCTGCCTGTCTCCCTCCCCCGACCATGGTGTGCACCCACTGATGGCAAGGATTGCGCTGCTGGAGTGGGACATGGTGGCCAGCGGGACCCACCTGCCTGGGCCTCTGTTTTCCCCTGTAGGTTTCTTCTTCGAGCCAACCATTTTCACAGACGTGGAGGACCACATGTTCATAGCCAAGGAGGAGTCCTTCGGGCCTGTCATGATCATCTCTCGGTTTGCTGATGGGTAGGGAATCGAGTCCACTATGTCTCGAGGACCTGATTCCTTTCTGTGTGTTACTGGGGTCTTTGCGTGAGCTCAGTGGGGTGGGCAGCAGGCGCCAGGAGAACTCAGAGTGGGACTGAGGACACACCTGTCAGCCACTGAGGTGAGAAGAGCCCAGGGGCCGGGGGGCTTCTGTCCCCACCCAGTGTCCCCCACATCATGCTGGCTGTCTCCCACATATGCTGGGCTCTGTTCTAATTTTTCTACTGCTGTGTGATAAATCTCTCTGAAACTCAGCGGCTGGGAATAGCAAGGGTGGTTATTTCACTCGTGAATCTGCGCTGTGATCACGGTTCCCTGGGGCTGAGCCGCCTCTGCTCTGAGCCTCTTGGGGTGTTCCACCGGGACACCAGAGTGGCTGTCCTGTGTAGGCTACAAGCTCTCACCACAACTTATTTTCCAGAATAATACCTTAAAGCAGATTATAAGATGCCCACATCCTCCACGCACTATACTTCTCACTGTTAAAAAATCAAAATTATCATAGGCCGACTTTGTTAGAATATGACATTTTCCTGCGACTTTCCAAGTGCACCTTGTGCCAGGCCTCCATCCCTGGGGGATGCCCAGTGCTCTGCCCATCCCTGTGTGGTAGAAGCCCCATCTGCCCGCTCTGGGCTCTATCCCCAGGTCTGTAAGGTGAAGGGCTTGCCTGTGATCTTCAAAGGAAGGAGCCTGTGGTCAGCCTTGTGCGAATCTTACTCTGCTCATTCTTCTCCTCCTTCACTCCTCTCGCTGCTGCCTGTCTCCTTTGCACTGGCTGTGCCCCTGGTACATGTCTTTTTGGAGGGTCCTGTGTAGCCAGGAACTTGGGGGGGGGCAGGTATCTGTGTCCCACGTCCAGGGCTGCCCCTGACCCTCCCTCATGGAGTTCTTCCTGAATTCTCCCTGCAGTGACGTGGACTCAGTGCTGTCTCGAGCCAATGCTACGGAATTTGGCCTGGCCTCTGGCGTCTTCACCAGGGATATCAACAAGGCCCTGTACGTCAGTGACAAGCTGGAAGCAGGCACTGTGTTCATCAACACGTACAACAAGACCGACGTAGCTGCCCCCTTTGGAGGGTTCAAGCAGTCTGGATTCGGCAAAGACCTGGGTAACTGAATCCTAGTCATCCATTAGCAGCCACTGGGGCGAGGTCCTGTCCTAGGCCAGGGGAGTCTGTGAAGATATCGCTGAGTAGGGAGGTGGGGGTGCCACACCCCCGGGGTTTGGTCTCTGTCATTTGATGAGTCTGCCTCCTGATCCCTCAGCTCCTCCAGCCTCCATCCCTGGGTCCTGCACAGAGAGGACCCACAAATTGGTGTCCTCACAGCTCACCTAGCAAAGGCCCAGAGACCTCAGCTGTTGAAATGAAGCTCCGGGGCCACTGTTGATGAGTCTGGGTCGGGTGGGGTCTGTCAGGCTGTACCCCTGCCAGTCACAGGGCTGAGACACAGTAGCCGCAGAGCTCAGCCATGTTCCGGGGGCCCTCTGAGGTGCCCCTTCTCCCAATTGCAGTGTGATCTGGAATTAGTTGCGGGCAGCAATGGGGAGAGCCCGCAGGTGGCATCTCTATTTAACAGAAGAGCAGTAGGAGAGCCTGGGGCTGAAGAGGCTGCCCTCCCTGGCAAGGAGGTGGTTGTAATGGGGGAAGTTTCTGCAACAGTGGCCCAGATCGGTTCTACTTCTGCTACTCAGATGCCTGCACTGGAAGCCATGTGCCCTCGACACATGCGTGCACATTGCATGTGCATGCACGCACACTCCCTCACTAGCATCAGCTTCTCACCTGTAATGGCCTGATCCAGGGGCCCCCACATGGTGGCTTCAGGGGTCCAGTGAGATAATCCGAGTGCAGGGCCTGGAGCAGTGTGGGGCTGCAGGAGGAACCATTATGGTGACTCCATGGCCCGAAGGTGCGATGTGTGTGGCGTCTTACAGGAGAGGCTGCCCTGAATGAGTACCTGCGAGTCAAGACAGTTACTTTTGAGTACTGAAGAGAGGCCTGAGAGGAAGCCTTATCTCCACCACGTGTCCTCTCCTTGCTCCACCTGACCATCCTCTCCGCGGGCCAGTGGAGCTGGGCACCTCGTCCTGCCCCATCCAGTTAAAGCCGCCCTTGTCTGGGGGAGAATAAAGGGCGAATAAAGGTTCTGACCAGCAGCATCTGACACCCCTTGTCTGTTTCTCCCATCTGTGGGTACCCTGGTGACTCTGCAAGTCCCAGAATGAGTCAAGTTCGAGCCAGGCCCCCAGAGAGACACAGGAGTGAGCTGTGGGTGCACATCAGCTCCAGCCTCAGGAAGCATTCTAGAGAAGCGTGTAGGAGGGGAAGGCTGGGTGGTTTTCCTCACATACTTGCACAACTGAACCAGAGGCAGAACAGGAGTGGGTGCCCTGGCTGAAGCCAAGGATTGTGTGTGAACAAAGGACTGTTTTGCACACAGAGCACCTTACTTCTAACAATTCTGTCCACCAAACATGTCTTTTTCCCCCATACCAAGTGATTCCTTGTGAATCAGCAGGATGAGTGTTGCTTCCACAGGTTAGGGATTCAGTCCCCCAAGATTGCTCCCACTATACCACAGATGCCACTCACATAGAGGCATCCAGGTCACCCACAATCCTGCTCAACTCAGCAACAAACCAGAGGCCCACACACCCCCTCAGACTCTATTCTGAGGCTGGAGCAGCTCACAGAACTCAGGGAACCACTTATTTTCACCAGCTCACTAGAGGATATGATCAAGGATACTGATGAGCAGCCAGATGGAAGCTTACACAGGAAGGGACCTGAGCCCAGGAGCTTCTGTCCCGTGGAGTTGGGGGCGACATCCTCTGGGCACCTAGATGTGTTCACTACCTGGAAGCTCGCCAGCCCTGTACTGTTGGGACTTGATGGACACTTGCTCGCGTAGGCTTGATGAATGAATATCTCCAGCCCCTCTCATCGTCCTAGAAAATGGGAGTGTGAGGCTGACAATTCCAGGCTTCTGATCGTTTGGACTTTCAGGTGACCGGTCCCCACCCAGAAGCTGTTCAGGAGTCCACCCCGATTCCTCATTAGAACAAAGATGCTCCTTCTGCTCTTACCACTCAAGAACTTACAAGGGCTTCAGGAGCTTGTGCCAGGAGCCACGGCAGAGACCAACCTATGTTTCTGTCATCTCACAACAGGGAGTGTGGGACTATCATTTACCTCCCATTTCCTTTTCTTTATTCCCTTGTTGTCTTAAGTCATAGGACCTCAGATTTTATCTGGACATATGGCTGCCCCAAGGAAAGAGAGTTCCCAGCCTTCTTTGCAGCTAGGCTGCGGTTGTGGAACCAAAAGCAGCAGGCGGAATAGGAGCAGAGGCAACAAATGCCTCTCCCAGACCCTCTTTGAAACAATGCCATGTTGTCACTCCCTCTTACCCCTGTTGGGCAGGAAGCAGACCTAGGACTTGGTGCTGCTGTTGCCCAGTCATGCAGCTAAGATGGCGGCTGGGGAGGACAGGCAGCATGTGATGGAGAAGCCTGCTCCCCAACATCAAGAAAATGCATATCAATAGAGGTGACTCAGCAGCAGACGCCTGACATGGAGAACTAAACTTTTACCACTCCTGGTTATCTAAAAAATGCATTTCTTTCTTACTGTGTTAGCACAGGAGTTTAAGGTCATTTAGAACTATATTAAATGAAATGAAAACATGCATGAGCAAATTGGGGCAAAGAAGAATGGGGAAGGAAGAGAAAATTAGGAATGCAGCTGGTGTGGAAACCACGCTGCGAAATATTATACCTTCTACGGTTGGACCACAACCTAGCTCAGAGCTTTCTAGTGCCGAGAACAAGGGGAACGCAGCCAGTGACCTAATTCAGAGCGTCCGTAGGACAGAACAGACCAGTTTTTCTCAAGTAGAGATAAAAAGCCATCACATGAGTTCTCCAAAAAAAATGTTTGATGATGTGGTGAGCGCTCTCTCACATGACTTTATAGGGGGTGGTAGGGTGCAGACAGCTGCCCCCTGGGCATGCTCCAAGGGAAGCCAGCACCTGCTCAACACAACCTGCATGAGCAACTGCACCTGTAGGGGCTGGAGCACGGGAGGGGGATGTGGGGAGCGGATGGACCCCTAGGGCCAGATTGTAGTTCTATTGGTTTGTCTTGATTCAAACATGAGGAGCCAGAGGAAATAGAATTTGCCAGAAGCCTCATCAGGGACAGCCTTGCATCTTTGCAGAAGATATGTCCTGATGTGATATAAAGGGGCCTCTGAGAATGTTCAGGATCAAAAGATACCACGGGATTGCCCTGCAAAATAAAGAGAACGTGGAAATGGTGTGGGAATGAGGCGGGGAAGGCTCCCTGCCCTGGGGGACAGAGAGGATGGGGCCCCTCAACAGCAGAGCACCCACAAATCTTTGGGAGAAATGTGGGAGTGTGTGGTATGAGTCTCCTTCCCTACCCCCCTCCAAAGTCAGTAATTCCCCACTGTTTGTTCTGCTTGCCTGTGAACAGTCCCCTTTGGGCAAACCCAAAGAGGAGGTGGTTCATAGCCAAGAGGACACAGACAGCAGAACGCAGGAGCAAAGAGTGTTATGCAGAACATCTGGTTGTGCAAACTTGGAGGACTTGGTTGGACTGCATGTACATTAGTCATCCTGTATGCACGTCAGTCATCCTGCCAAAACACTGCTTGCCCAAGAGAATGTGAAGGCGCTTGGCACAGCAGGCCTCTGCCCTCCAACCTCTGAGGAGTGCCCGATGGCCCAGTGACCACAGCCTGAGTGTTGTGGGGTAGCAGATCTGGCCAAGCAGATGGGGTAAAGTACCCTCTAAACTACATTCCAGAAGGGGAAGGGAGCTTAACAATAAATATATTTAAAATATGAGGACCCACATCACCCAACAGAGACCATCAATTTGAAATGCTTACATGCTACAGGCCTACAGGAGAGCAATTCCTTTAGAGTTTTGGTGCATGGAAGACACCGGAAGTAACTAGGAATGAGTGAGCTGCTGTACATGCCTAATCCTGGCCCTAGATGAATTACTGAGTTCCTCTGTGCTTCAGTCCTGTCATCTGTAAAAAGTCGTGGTGTTTTGAAAATCTCTAACACTCAACAATAAGATAAATATTAGCTTCAGTGTGATCTAAGGAGTGGATTTGGCCCTTTTCAAGGTCTAGTTTACATTGAAATTTTATTTGCCCATTGAAAAGTAAATATTGAGTGCCTCTTGAAAAAAAGATGAAAACAGAACACACCATCTGTTTGCTTTGCCCTCCAGTGCCGAGGACAGGCCTCGTGTAGAGTGGGTCTCATCAAATAATCACTGACCTCGTGACTACAGCTAAATTCTCATGCAATGGGTCATCTTCTAGGGAAGAAATTACCCAGATTGTTTCAAAAAGTAGTCAAGAACCTGACCAAATTCATTAACTTTTGGAAAAACATGAAAAAGCCTCCAAAAGGAAGCTTTTACCGTTCTGGATTGGGGAGCTTACAGACCCAGAGGACTTGACTCTGTTGGCACTGCATGTCCACCACAGGTTGTCTTTTTGGGGGGTCTCTTCCATCGCTGAGACACTCTTCACTGTCAATGACAGCTTGTTTCTGTTTCCAACCCAACCACACTGGCCAGAGGGCCCACCCATGCCAAGGTGGGAAGTTCAGTCTCCGCGTGCCCAGACCAGCAGGTGGCATTAACCACTGCCCCCAGTGAAAGGCTCTCAGCTCTGACCAGGAGAGATTTCTCTGTAAGTGTTCAGAAACAGATAATTTTCTTGCCTGTATTCCAGAGCATAGAAAAAGATGAAAAACTTTCTAATTCTCTCTGTGCCACTGGAGCACATGTGGTGAAGCCTGTCTTTGGCTCCATTGCTGCCCCTGCCCCCCACCAGTATGGAAGTGGCCCAGGCCTCTTTTGGGAGGGACAGAAAAAGCTGCATGTTAAAGGTGGGATGGCAGCTTTCCATGGTCCAGTGCCTGGTGACTAGCTGCCCCCAAATCGCTTCCCTTTTGCCAGCTGCTCTTCAAAGTCAGCAAAACCAGCGTGAGTATTTTTAGTGCAGGATCAGTCATCTCAGGCCCTCTGGATTCTGGGGTGTGCTCTCAGCAGCCCATTGCTGTCCCCAAGGACAGGGTGTGCCCATGTATGTGCTTGTCTTTTGAGGGGCTGCTCCCTCCTGCAGCTCTCAGCTGGACCATGTCCTGGGAGCGAATATTCCTACCTCCAGGGAGACCAGCAGATTCACCAAGGATAAGGAGTCCACGCCCCTGCAGGTGCCAGAGTCCAGATGCACGTGCCCTAACAGACAAGTCTGTCCCTGTCTGGTAAGCAATTGGGGGTGGAGAAAATTTCCAACACTACAGAAGGGAGGCTTTTATCCCAAAACGTGGTCCCTGATCTTCTGAGTCCAGCACTGCCAGACACTCCCTGGTGGGCAAGCTGGGAAAAGTGACTGGTAGAGGCCACTCTGCCTGCTCCCTTCTGTCGTGATGCGCTGTGACTCATGGGAGGGCCGAGGTGGTGGTCTGGGTCCAGGGCCTGGATGTTTCCTGCACCCCCGTCTCACCTCGACGACAAGGCCCATGGTCCCTCCTTCTGTCTTGGGGTCTCTGTTCACTGCAGAGCTCAGGAAGGGGTCACCTATCTGGCAGGAGGATAGAGGGAATTCTTTGCAGTGTAGGTGGGCCGGCTGGAGTGCTGGGTGCTAACTCAGACACGATGAGGCAGCGTGCCAAGAGGGGGCCCACAAGTGGCAGGCCCTAAGTGACCTTGAATCATCGTTGTCATCATTCAAGACCTAATTTCATTCCTTAGAATTTCACATGTAAATTTGCTATTATAAATTTAATAACTAGAAGAGTTAATGCACAGCACAGTCGTCTTTCACCTGGAACACTAGCCGCAGCACCTCTCTTCCTAAGCACTCACTCACTCTGATGGGGAGGAAAACATGTTTGTCTACCTTTCTAGACTCTTCAGCTGGAAAGTAATTAAATTGACGTGAAGTGAGATTAACAGTAGAAAAAGCAAACTTAATTGTGTACGTACCAGGACCCACACAGACATAAAAGGTCCAAGGACATTCTGGCAAAATGAGGTGTAAGTGGCACCCTGGACTAAGGAGAAGGGGTGTGGCCTGGGGCTCCGGAGGAGGGAAGGCCATTCACAGGAAGATGGGGAAGGCACAAGTTTGGAA